CCATGGGTCCTTCTTCAACATATCGCCTGCTCTGAGGTGCGCCAACATAGCGACGCTCATCAAAAGGCTCCTGCATCACACTGACCTCACGGAATCGAGGCTGTGAGGCGCGAACAGCCGACGGCTGGATGCTCTCGTGTCGGACGTAGCCTTCCGGAACTTCTCGACGAACAACTTCTGGCCTCATACTGTACGATCGCGCTGAAGCATACTCTCGTGGCGGGCCCATCTCCTCGTACTGTGGCGCAGCGCGGTATTCCACCTCTACAGGACGGCGAGAGGGTTCTCTCTGCCTATACGGGCTCTCCATCATTTCAGGTTCCGACGCCTCGACATAACGTCGAGGAGGCGGGGGCATTCTCTGAACAGCTTCTTCTTCGTACATTTCTGGTCGTGTCGGTGCACGCATCGTGGGCTCCCGCGTCACAGCCCGCTCGTAGTATGGCTCAACCTCCACTCGCCTGCTAGGTGGCGCCATCGACTCTCGCGCATCCATTGGTGCCGCATAGTACTTTTGTCCATACTGATCCACCACAATTCTGCGTGGCGGCGGAGCCATGAGCGGCTGAGATGGCATGTATTCATGTATAGGTGATCGCGAACGTTCGCGCACGTATCTGGGTGCGGCTGATGGGCGGGCTGAGGCTTCGCGGAAAACGGGCGCCTCGGCGCGTTCGACAAATGCATGCGATGCTGCACGAATTTGTCGAGGCTCTGGCGCTGCGTATATCTCGTTGACGCCACCTGGCGAGTAGGGGCGTCGAGCATATTGCAGACTTGCGACCCGCCTGAGGTCCTGTTCATCGCGCAACGATTTCCGCTGCGGCGTGCGTATGACGGTCGGGGACAAGGGCTCGTCGTACTCGCGGTAAGATCGTGCCATAGGTTCCGGGTCGCGGTAGTAGACCGGCTGTGTTCTGGGGCTGCCTTGCGCAGAAACAAGCTCTACCTCGTCGGGATGAGGCTGTAGCGCACGACGCTTACTAGGTTGTGAATCGGGATAAGCCGTGAAAGGAGGTGGTGACTGCGGCTCTTCCTTGATGTACGGTTCTGGCGAGTTGACAACACGTTTGTTGGCCTGCTGCTGACGCTTCTTCTCATCGCGCTCGCGTTTCTCTTCTCGTCTCCGCTTGCGAGGGTTGTGAACTGGTGCTGCGGGACCGGTCGGACTTTGACGGCGTGATCTGCGAAACGTTAGCATGATTACAAGAAGGAAAATAGATGGAAGAGAGGAAATTGTAATAGAGATATGCAAGGACAGCTATGACTGATCTCAAGGCAGCAGAAATGGTGACCCATAATACAGTGACGCTCGCTACCAAACCCAGGGTCATGCCACAACCTGGATGGACGAACCTGTCGCGAAGCAGGTCGTTGACTCAATGTGCGAGAAGAGAATGGAAGTGAGAAGAAGAGAAATTCTATAGTATCATACCCGTTCGTGCCGCCATGGCGGTTGCGCTGCCGACCCCTCAAGGGTTCGCTTGGACCAATCTCGGCTGGAGGTGGAGAGTAGTCTTCCTCCTCCTCGCCTTCCTCGTGCAGCTGTGCAGGCTCAGGCTCATAGATTTCTATGTCATCGGCCGGCTCATACGCCTCTTCGTCGAGGTCGATCACAGTGGGCTCGGCTGGGCGAGAGTGGACATTCACTTGCTGAGCTGTGGGCTGCGCCTGTGATGTCAGTGGAGCTGCATCAGCATGCGTGTTGTCAGCGCGATCAACATCCTCTGAGGACCAACTGTTCGCCTTGCTAGAGTAGTACGAGTTTTCGTCAAATGACTCAACGTCGTCGCTGTTGTTAGTCGCAGACGGTAAGCCAGATACAGGCGGGACCAGTTGGTGGGCCTTGATCAAACACTGCTCGACGTCGATGAGAGCTTCTCGCTCGTCTGCATCGTTGCCACGGCCCTTTTTATCGAACTGGTCCTTCAGTGCGCGTTCTATCTGCTGCCGCTTGAGCTGCTGTTCCGCCTTGACCAGGTGTTCGGATTTTGTGAGCAAGATGGGATCGATGCTCGAAGAGGAAGACTTGGCCGAGTAGGGTCGTTGTGTAGGGGGTATAGGAGACGTGGGAGGGCGTGCTGAAGATGCTGGACGCGGAGGAAATAGTTGCGATGAAGATCCGTTGGGTGTGCCGTTGGTGGTAGGTCTGCTAGAGGCAGTCTGCGGAAGACGCGGTGCAACCTGCTCAATTACTTTGGGTGGAAGATGAATACGCGGGTGTTGGCTAGCAAGCACTTGGTCGCGTATCTGCAAAATCTTCTGGAGGAACTCGGCCTCGCGAAGCACCTCTGCAGACACTGCGCTGGCACCGTTCAGATGCGACGGCACTGCGGCTGTCGACATGGAAGCGATTGGCGCTGCCATCACAACAGACGCGAACTGACTTTAGTACTGAACACCAACAAGCGAGCGCAAGACTGGCGATTATACAAATACAGGCGAAACCCGCAGCTGCGCGGGGTGAGAAGATGATGAAGGGGAATGAGTGTATGGAGAGCAACACGCCAGCGAGTGGGCAATGAATGTCGGAGCCACGGCGCGTTTTGGTTTTCAGCAGGTGCACGCGCCAGCGCCAGCACTAGGCCCAAAGGGGATGGTGACTTCTCCATGTACCCATCACGCCTTCTACAACTGTGAAGGCAGCAATCGCATCTAGTCGAGAGAAACAGTGAAGATTGGCTTTCTTTTGGTCAGTGATACTGCGACAAGGTATGACGCTAACACTATATCCTGTGCGTCATAACTCGAAACTTACACTAAGCAGACAACCTTTGGAATCTTCCAGCGCCACTTTCCCTGGACACGCATATCCCACCCTTTCGATATCTGAAATCAATCATCATCTCGAGTGCTTGTCTGGTATCGAGAGAACCACAATCATGTCGTTCAACACAGCAGCACCGCCAGAGACCATGGAGTACCGGTCACAACCTCAGCATGACTCAACAGCAAACAACAGCGCCGAGGTCGACGAGAACGAGAAGCCAGTCTTCTTTTTCGACATTGACAACTGCCTCTACCCTAAGAGTCTTGATATCCACCGGATGATGGCTGAGCTGATCGATCAATTCTTCCAGAATCACCTCAGCTTGTCCCAAGAAGACGCCAATGAACTCCACTACCGCTATTACCGCGAATATGGTCTTGCGATTGAAGGGCTCGTCCGACACCACAAAGTCAATGCGCTGGAGTACAACAGCAAAGTAGATGACGCGTTACCACTGGAAGATGTCATCAAGCCCAACCCCGAGCTGCGCAAGCTGATCGAGGACATCGACACAAGCAAGTGCCGCTTATGGCTCTTCACCAATGCGTACATCACCCATGGCAAGCGCGTCGTCAAGCTTCTGCAGATTGACGATCTGTTCGAGGGTATCACTTTCTGCGACTATGGCTCGGACAAGTTCTACTGCAAACCGCACGTGGAGATGTACGACAAGGCAATGGCAGAGGCTGGCATCAAGTCCAACGAGAAGTGCTACTTCGTCGGTGAGTGCTTATTATATCTCATGTTATTGTAGCCTACTAATGTATTGGTACAGATGACTCTTACATCAACTGCAAGGCAGCAGAGGGACGGGGATGGAAGACGGCGCATCTGCTTGACGAGAAAGATCCCGCACCTGCTCAGCCGGCCAGCAAGTACCAGATCAGGGGCTTACAGGAGCTACGGAAGATCTTCCCAGAGGTTTTCAAGAGTTCGTGAGAAGATGTATGACTGTACGTTGTCGCAAGACGATAGACTGGGGTCCGCAATGCCACATCATGCGCACTCGTGGATGTTCATGACCATCACGATTACGAATGGACGATAGACTAGATTCAAAGGCATATAGAAAGATAAAAGTGTGGATTAACTGGTTGGTATGAAAGATTAAGCGTTCGCAGCTACCATGGCTCGGTATCTTATCGTTCGCCGAGGACCAGTGCTCTTGCGTACCATAGCACCGCATCTAGGCAACAACAACCCTTCAACTCTTCTTCTATAAAAAAAACCTTCAAGTCCTCTATAGAAATAATCAATGAAGACACCAAAGCAATACCAGACCATGTCATCAACCACCCCACCCGCCCCGCAATCCTCCGCACTACCCCCAACCCACCCCTTCAACACCACCTCCACCAACGCAACCACGCTCGCCGACCCCACAACCCAACTCCCACTCGTCACCGACGCCGTAACCCCAACGCGCAAACCTCTCCTCCGCCTCGAACTCCGCGACCTCTCCTCAAATGGCACCCGCGCCTTCCTACGCCTCACACACGCGTCACACGCGCTCGAGCACGCCGTCGCGACAGTCCTCACACACCTCTACAGCGGACTCCCCAAAACATGCATCCCAGGCACGCGATCCGTAACGCTAGTCCTCCGCGAAATGGACGGAGTCGCATACACAACAGGTCTCGATCTCGACGACGACCACAAGGAAATCCACCTAAACACGTCTTACATCTCGCACGTGCCTGAGTCGCGGCAGAAGGAAGAGATACTAGGTGTACTTGTGCATGAAATGGTGCATTGCTGGCAGCATAGTGGGTTTGGGAGTGCGCCGACGGGGTTAACAGAAGGAGTCGCGGATTGGGTGAGGTTGAAGGCGGGGTTTGCGCCGCCGCATTGGAAGAGGCATGGGGATTGTGAGTGGGATGCTGGGTATGAGCGGACGGGGTATTTTCTGGAGTGGCTGGAGAAGGAGCATGGGGAGGATGTTGTCAGGAGGTTGAATGAGGGGATGAGGGAGAGGAAGTATGATGGGGAGGCGTTGTGGAAGGGGTGTTGTGGGAAGGGGGTTGAGGAGTTGTGGGAGGAGTATAAGAAGAGTTTGGAGGGGAATGAGTAGGGTTGGGGAGTTGTAAGAGTTGTCAGGTATGTGGTTTAGGCGTGGACCTTTACACATAGAGGTTCGGAGGATAGAAGACGCGCGCTACATCATGGACGAATTTACACACGACCAATACATCATCGCTACAGCATCTACCGAACAGTCTTGATATCCCATCTACCTCCGCTTCCTGGCAGGAGCAGCGTTTCTAGCTGGAGCAGGCTTCCTAGCTGGAGCAGCATTCCTTGCACCTGTAGGCCTGGACGCGGCCGCTGGTTTCGGAGCACTCTTCGCAGCGTCTCTCCTCTTCTTCTTCTCCCATTCTTTATGCTGGTTATTAAGTTTTTCCCTGAACGCGGCGTCATTCACTAACTCTGCCTTTGCAACTGGCTCTTTCTTTTGCCGCTCAGCTTTAGTCCTCTCTTGTTCTGCTCTTCGAAGCGCTGCCTCGAAGTCGTCGTCTTCCTTCTTCTTGCGCTTCTCTTCCTTTTCTTTCTTATCTTTCTGTTCCTTTGCGGCTCGACCTTTCTCTTGGTCTGCCATATGTTGAGCTCTAGAAAACTCTTCATCCTCTTTTTTCTTGCGTTTCTTTTCTTCTTCCTTTTCTTTGTGCTGTTTCTTTAAAGCTTCGACCTTCTCGTCCTCCTCAGCTTTAAGCTTCTTCTTCTCTTCCTTCTGGATTGCTGCTAGTCTATCTTTCTCTGCCTTTACAGCTATGTCTTTCTCTTTCTTCTGGGCTTTAAGCTCCTCTTCTTCTGCTTTTAGCTTCGCCTGCTCTCCCTTCCGACGCTCTGCTTGAGCGCGGGCGTCCTCCTTCTTCCTGCGTTTCTCTTCCTCTTCCTCTGCCTTCCGTTGTTTCTTGGCGGCTTCATCCTGCGCTTTCTTTTCGTATTTGACTAGACTTTGCTCTTGCTTCGGCTGATCATGGGCTTTCTTTCCAAATAAGACCAGACTTTGCTCTTGTTTCGGCTGATCATGCTCTCTCTTTCCAAACTTGACCAAACTCCGCTCTTGTTTCGGCTGCTCAATCATCAATCGGGCTTCTATTCTCTTCTGACGTTTCTCTTCCTTTTCTTGGTCTCTTCGTGCGGCGGCTCCTTGTTTGGCGGTGGCCAGTGTTACGAGCGTCTGTTCTTTTGCAGGTCTATTAGAGGCTGTGCGCAGTTCCTTCGCTGCAGCTTGGGTGATGAGCTTCTGTTCCTTCGCTTCGGCTTGCATTATCAGCTTCTGTCCCTTTGCGGCTTCTTTGGCTGCTGTCTTCAGCCTCTGTTGCTCCGCCTTCTCGGCCGCTTTGGTATCCGTGGTCTCATGCTTCGCACTCGATCTGAATAAGCTGAATTTTCGATGTTCAGAGCTCTGTGTATGGCTTTCAAGCGACTGGAATTCCCTCGCGCTGGATTTGTGATCCAAATTCTGCTCCTTATCATGTGGCTTGTTATCGATTGCGAGTTGCTTAGCTTCGAGCCTCTTGTCCTTGGCCGCTTCCTTGGCTGCGAGCTTCAGTCTTTGCTTCTCTGCTTCGGCGGCTTTCTTGGCATCAGAGGACTCAGGCCTTATGAGAGACTTCAGTTTCAACTTCTCCTCCTTGTCTTGGGCCTTCTTCTCAGATGCGACTCGTTTAGCTTCGAGCTTCTTCCGGGCCTCTTCCGCTTTTTGAGCATCTTTCTCAGCTTTCGCAGCACTTGGCTCCCCAGACTTATCGGCATGCTTGTTGGTAAATGGAACAACTTCCTTACCAACCTTCTCACCCCCCTTCTTTTCGCTCTTCTCATCAGCTTTCTCAGCCTTGTGCACTATTTCCAGTTTCGATGCTGCTTCCTTCGCTTCGGCTTTCTTCTTTGCATCCGCATCCTTCTTCTCATCCTTAGCCTTCTTGTTGGCGACTTTGGAGTCTGCGTCGGTACTGTCCGACTTCGCTCCACCGTTCTTACTCTCCTTAAGTTCTGCGTCGTTATGTTCAGCATCCTTGTGTTCAGAACCCTTGTTTTCAGAATCCTTATGTTCAGCGTCCTTGTGCTCGGCGTCTTTTTCTTTCTTAGCCTTTCTTAGGGCTCTCTTCTCCTTGATGATATGTTTATTAGAGGGCCCTTTCTCGGTCTTGGCGTTCGTAACATGTTCGTTGTTGATCGTTCGGTTGGTAATCGTCTGATTGGTGATTGTCTGGTTGTTGACCGTCTTGTTGGTAATCGTGTGGTTGTCAATCTTCTGATTAGTCTTTGCGCTGTCTTCTGTGCTCTGCTTTCCCTTGGCTGGACCATCTGCGCCCTTTTGATCTTTAGTCGTATTGTCATGTTTGGTACCCGAGGCAGCAGCTTCTTTCTGGGCGTTAGCTTCTTTCTTCGCGGCTTTCTTGTCTTGATTCGCTTTCTTCTTCGCCGCCCGCGCTTCTTTTATCTCAGCCTCCGTACGCGCAGGTTGTTTAGCAGCATATTTTTGTGTGTCGACTGTGCCTTCCTTAACCGGTTCACCTGCGTTCTCTTGTTGAGAATTGGCGTCATTCCCCGCAGCCTTGTTCAACTTCTTTGCCTCTTTCCTGTCCTTTCTTCCCTGCAAGACCAACTCTCGATCCATCACAGGTTTTTGCTTGGCACCGTTCGCATTCGCGCCGTTTCCGTTGTTGATGCCTTTGCCTTGAGCGTTGGGGCTATTAGGGCTCTGCGCAGCCTCCAAATTTGCCTCCTGCGCTTCTCGTCCCGCCTGTGCGTGTTGCCTTGGTCCTGGTACGCCGTGTATACCCAGGTGTAGTTCATCACCACGTCCATGACTGGCGTGATCTATGTGATTCTCGCCTTGGTGACCACGATCCCTAGGATCGCCGCGCTGCATATATGGGTGTCTTTCTTGACGTAGTCCGTCACCATGTCCTTCTTCGGCGTGCTCCGGATGATTTCCGCCTGGGTGACCATAACCTCTAGGATCGCCATGTCGTGTATCTGGGTATCTTTCCTGTTGATGGCCATGGTTAATGTCCCAATGGCGACCGTCTTGTCGACCCTGTTGTCCTTGTCTCGCATGATCTTGATGATTTCCGCCCGGATGGTCATGACCTCTAGAATCGCCATGTCGCGTATCTGGGTATCTTCCCTGTTGGTGGCCATGGTTAACGTCCCAATGGCGACCGTCTCGTTGACCCTGTTGTCCAGGTTGTCTTGCTTGATCTTGATGATTTCCTCTTGCGTGATTAGGACCTCTAGGGTCACCATGCTGCGCATCTGGGTGTCTACCTTGTCGGTGGCCATGATTTTCGTCCGAGTGACTGCCATGTTGTTGATCATGGTGTCCTTGGGCCTCATTATGTCCTCCAGCTGCCGTGTTCCCATCGGGTGGCGGTCTCGCCATAGCATTACCCGCCTCCATCCGTCGCTCGTCCTCCTCTTCCTGCATACGCTGCCTCTCCTCTTGTTGATGAGTCTTCTTTTCCTGATCAGCTGCTTTCTTGTGCGCTCGCTCTTCGTCTTCACTCTCCTTTCTCAATCTTTTCTCCTCAGCTTCAGTGCCTCGTCGAGCCTTTTTATCTTCTAGTTCGGCCTGGCGTCTCTGGACCTCCATTTCCCGCTCGGCACGCTTTGCTTCTTGTTCCATGGCATGTTCTTCCATACGATGGTTAGCTTCAGCAGCCGTGGCCTCCATCGTGCCGCGCTTCTCAGCTAAATGCATCTGCCTCTGGGCTTCTCGCTCCGCCTTTCTGGCCTCTTGTGTAACGGATCGTTCCTCAATACGTTGAGATGCTTCCTCTGCTCTGAGCTCAGCTTGCTCTTGTGCGCGTTGAGTCTTTTCGGCCGCATCGAGTTCCCTTTGAGTCTTGCGGGCTTCTCTATCGATCTCCTGTTGCTGTTGGCGCTGAACGGCATCCTCGGCTTTACGTTCCCGCATTTCCTCTGCCCGTGTCCTTTTCATCTCTATATCATTCGCCCGCTTAGCCTTCTGGGCTTCACGATCCATCTCGCGCTGTTCTTTTCGCCGTTCATCGTCCTCGGCCTTTCGTTCGCGTTTGGCCTCCTGATCTTCCACTCGACGAGTGTCACGTTCCTCTCGATCAGCCTCTTTCTGCTCATTCTTTCGCTCTTTCTCTTCAGCCTTCTTTTCATCCTTTCGCTCCTTCTCTTGTGCTTTCTTCTCATCCTTTGCTGCTTTCTCCTCCGCCTTCTTCGCATCTTTCTCTTGCTTTGCGAACTGGCGGGCTTCGTCTGCTGCTTGCTTCCGAGCAGCTTTATCTGCAACTTCCTGGGCTTTTTGTTGTTCTCGCAACTGTTGCTGTTGGTACTGTGCCTGCTGTTGTGCCTGGTATTCTTCATCGTCTTGGGCACTTTGCTGTTCTTGCCACTGTTGCTGCTGTTGAAAGGCCCGTTGCTGTGCCTCGGCCTTTGCAGCTTCCTGATCAGCCCAATCCGCATCTTCCCTGGCGGCGAGTTCATCATCCGCATACTTCTGCTGCGCCCGTTGCATCTGAAGTGCTTGTTGACGCTGTTCGTATTCGAACTTTCTCCGAGCAGTCTCGTTGGCCGTAGCTACTGCAGCTTCTTGCTGTGCTGCGAGCTCGTCTTCTTCCTCTTCCTCTTCCTGCGCTTGCTGCTGCGCTAGCTGTCTCTGATGCATGGCAGCTTGCATATTCTCTTGGCGTTTCCTGTCAATTTCTTGTCTTTGGGCTTGGATCTGTTGTCGCTGCGCTTGACAATGCGCTGCTTCCGCCGCGGCTTCAGCCGCTTCCTGTTCTTGCGCCATTCGCTCGTCTGAAGCCTTCTTTGCCAGTGCAGCTCTGATTTGCTCTTGACGTTGTCGCTCCATTACCTGATCCTGAGAAGGCATCTGCATTTGACGTCCTGCTGACTCGTATGACTGTCCTTGGGAAATCGGTCCCCGCGCTAGATCGTCATAGTCGTCGGTGCCTTCTTCCTCCCCTTCTTCTTCATATTCGTCTTCCGCTTCCTCCTCTTGTATCGAACGCTGGTAGGGCTGCTGCCATAACGGCAGGCTTGTTCGGGAGGGTTGTGCAGGTTGCGGAGGAAACGGAGCAACGTCTTGGAAGCGCTGGTGTTGGATAGGGATATCCTGACGCTGATCTGCTTGTCGCAATTCAGAAGGCGTATATGAATGCACTGGAACTTTTGGACTAGAAGTTTGGCGTTGCTGTGGAGGCATTGCCCGCGGATCATGGTCATTCGGTCCTGGCCTCAGTGCTTCTGGAACCACGGAAGCTTGTTGAGGGTAGCCAACAGGCGGTATCTGAACATTGCTGGCTGACTTATGATGTGGCAGCCCGCCGTCTTCATGTTCGCTGTCGCTCTCAGATGTCTCATCGTCTGAAGTTCGCTCGTAGTCACTGCCGTCAACGTCGCTGTCTTCCAAGTGCTCATCTTCGTCGTCCCCTGTACCTTCAACCTTGCTATCAAACTCCTCTTCCACGTCACTATCGTCTTCTACTTTGTCTCTAGTATCTTCATCGCTGACTTCGCTATGATATGACTCATCGGTGTCGTAGTCATCAGTGGGAAGTCCTTGATTGCGTGGATCAATAGCGACATGAACAGCGATGGCTGGTTGTGCGATCGCCATGATATATGATGTCGTTGGTATGTAACTCGATTGGTTGGACTGGGAAGTGTGTAAGATCAGGCCTGCCTGTATGATGTGATAAGTTGGTGTCTATTTGGGGTAAATATAGAGTTAAAAGAATGGCCTCAGAACACTGGCTACGTCTAGGACTTTATATCTGACATAGGTGATATTCCAAAACAAGATTGTGAAGCTTTCGTTGAATGTGCGGTATTGATGTCGAACTCGGGTGCGTGAAGAGGCTCAGACCATCACCAGATCAGCACCTGGAAGCCTGCGTTGGTCATATCCTGGTGTGTAATCTTGAAGTCTGAGAACTGTGACTGACCAGTTCTTCTGAATTCTTTTCAAGAGCACTTCAATATCTATATTCTTACTGAATTCCTATTCGAGTGACAAGCATAACGACCCCACGATCAAGCTTTCAAGTAAAAAGCATCGCGCGTGCTTGTTGTGATATAGCAGTTCTTCAAAAGTTAGAGAGTGAAGTTTAGCCTGCCAGTGAATTCTTTATCACAAGCACGCTGACCATAAATTTAGCTCTCGGGGAGTGTGCACATATAACCAGACTTAACCACTGCGCTTACACCCATCGCCTAGGATTAAACCAAACAACCGGGAACTGCACAGAAGCTCTACCAAATTCGAAATTCCCATCTTTACCACCAAATAAGCTTCGCAGAAGCCACCTTATTACCAAACCAACAAGTTATCGCCCGCTACTTCATCACACCTCGCCGCGACCAACCATGTGCATCGGAGTCAACAGCGAAGTCTGCCCCGACTGCGGCAACAACGGCAAAGGCCACGACCCCTACCTCCAAGGCGGTACAAAATGGATCCGATGTCCAGCCTTCATTAAATCAATGACAGGAAAGGAACCCTCAGGGCCCAAATGCGAATCCATCACGCGCGATCAGATTGGAAAGAAAGGGGACTGTGCAGTCTGCACATCACGGAAGACATTTGAAGAGAGGAAGGCAGAAGGGAAAATGACGCCGAACGAACAGAGACTGGAAAGAATGAGGCTGGCGAAGGAGAGATTTGACAAGGATGTGAAGACCAAGAGGAAGGAGCTGTGGGGAGATCAATAGGGCGGATTTGATGATGGAGATACTGGTGCTACTTGAATTGCGGAGGGGCTGCATGTATGTCGTGATATTGCAATGTGATTTAGCGGTTCTTCAAGCTTAGAAGTGTGAATTCCGATGTACCCGTAAGATATAAAGCGCTCTCGAGTCCTCTAAATATTTACTTCCTCATATATACAGAACTACCAATCAAGAAAGCACTACACTGAAATACTACGACTAAACACATCGATTTGACATCGACCGCGTGCACATCCACCTCACTTTTGGCTCACCAAATACCCCATCTCTATCTCAAATCAACGTCACCGGAATCACTTGTCCGTCAAACCCACGAACCAGCAGATCTACCCACCACAGTCCAAACATGTGTACAGGCGTCCGCTTCAAAAAATGCCCTAAATGTATCAGAAATGGTGGAAGATACGCACCCTATATCAACGTTGGCCAACAAACAACGCGATGTGCAGATTCCAGGATACCAACACCAGCAGGAAGCAAGTACCCCACCAAATGTCATACAGTCCATTGGAAGGAAGACCCCAACCCGGCGACAGGTCGCTGTGCGGACTGTAAAAGCAAGGCAATCCAGAATCCCATGACAGAGGCAGACTTCGTGCTGGCGAAGCAGGCGGAGGAGGCTGAACAGGCAACAAATAAGTCGAAGGAAGAGGCGAGGGCGAGGAACAAGGGGAAGGCAGCGGCGTACAAGGCTACCGCTCCTGTTAAGAAGACTACTGTTCCTGCTAAGAAGGCTGTTGCTCCTGCTAAGAAGACTCCTCGGTTCATCCCATCGCAGGAAGCTCTAGATAGAGCTAAGGCGACTGCTGCGAAGACTCCAAAAAAGACGAGAGGGGCTGTGGAGAAGGCTCCGAAGAAGACTACTCAAGCCGCTATCAAGGCTGATCAGGCGATGTTGATGAGCGCGTTTACTTATCATCAGAAACAGGCTGCTGAGGCTAGTGCTAAGGGCGGGAATGCTGGATAAGAGCATCGTGATCGGTAGAGGCGGAATTTGGTGAGAATGTGTCGGATTACTTTACATTTGTTATGCTATATGGTTGAAAATCGGGGTTAGCGATGAATGCGAAGTATTAGTAATACTCTCTCCATGCGACTTCATGAAGAACGATTGCGAACCCATTACCCATCAGTTTCCCACGCGCCTGAAACAAAAGTGTGCCCTGCAACCTTCACTCTCAATCACCTTACCCTGTTCAGCAGCAGGGGCCTTTTCCGTAGCCCCCATAGTTGTGGCGGTGAACAACAACTACGAGGGAACACTGAGCTCGAAGGCGCAACCCAACTCGACCCCGTCTGCACCGACCACGGATCTACCTCCACACGCGCAATCCGCTCGAACCGTCTCCTCTGTTTACCCTCCATCGTTGTCCAGGTGAACAACAAGTACGAGGGCCTCGCCCTGAACTCGAAGGCGCAACCCACTTAGACCTCTTCTGCACCGACCACGGATCTACATCCACACCCACACCCGCAATCCGCTCGAACCGTCTCCTCTCCTCTATATATACCTCGTTTTTCCAACTTGTCTCCCAAGCCTTGCGCAAATATGCTCTCGTTTCTTTGATGAATTGCTCCCGGGTTTGACGTCTTGGGAATTTTTTCGCATTCCCATCCGCATCCGCATTTTCCAGGACGATGCGTCCAGCCGACGCAAGTAGGTAGTATGACTCCTGGCACGGAAAACAGCAGGGTCGGTATGTGAAGGTGGGAAACCAGTTAACTCCAGGTTCTCTGCCGGGTTTGTGGAATTCGCCTTGCACAATGTATTGGAGGACGTGATATACATCTGCGTAGATGGTAGATAGCTCCTCAAATAGCTCCTCCGAACTTCTTCGACGGGCATTTTCTGGAAGGGAGACCTGGTTGAGCTGGGTGAGTAGGCAGCGGGCGATGTTGATGTGGAAGTGATAGGAGTATTCTTTTACTTCGCCCAAAACGGCGCGAATGTATGGAGGGAGACGTCCTCCATCGAAACGCGTATGGTGATTGGATAGACGGTCGATTACGCTGATACCTTTTGTGCAGGCGGCTACGCAAGCCAAGTCATTCTTGGCATGCTCAGCGTCATCGGCTCGTTCCCTGTGTATCGAAAGCTCAGTGAGGAGAACATGAGCATCCGGCCAGCGTGGTTGTTTGACGATTTGCATCGTGTCTTGTAGAAGATCCTCATGGGTGCAGCCTTCAATCGTGAGACGGCGGCAGCCACGGATGCCACCTTGTATGGGTTGTAACAGCTGTTCTTGCATACGCCGTGAAAGAACCTCGCAATTTTCTTCCTCATCAGTGTTCGTACCTGCGTTCAGTATGACGCGTAACTCCACCCCCATATCTGGTGCTTTCATGCAGCCATGGTACATCCTTTCAGTCTCCAATCTCTTGCAGAACTCGCTCAGGTCCGACAACAGCATCACTATCCTGGTTGTCAAGGAGCGAGAGGAGCGAGAGGATTGAAGAAACCGGCCGAGCTGAAAGACGAGGTGCATCTCACAATGCGGGAAGACCTTTGGCTCTTCTTCGCTCAAACTGGGGTGCGGCTCAGGTATGCAGCCACCAGTGTGGCTTATGGAAAAGATGTGGATCGGTTGGCTGGGCCCGTGGAACCAATCTTGTATATTGGCACTCTGAACCTCGACGCACACGAAAATGTCACTGTTTGATAGGAAAGGCTTTGCTTCACCATAGATCTGCTTGTTTGCGAGGAGTATATTAGTGCCAAGACGTCGCCGCTTTACTATGGGTGCCCCCGCATGCAGGTTTGAGTATTCGTGGATAGTATAGCGAGCTGTTGGACAGCTATCGAAGCCCAGCGCAAATTCGTAGACATTGTCTCGTAGCTCGCGTGGTAGATCAAGAAGGCGGAAAGGCTGTTCGGTGAGGTGAGTGTTCATGATGCTTGACAGGAATTGTGGTGTAGGAAGGTAGGAGCGTTCAAGGTGCTGAAGGCTGCTTATACACGGCTGGCAGTAGCGGCTCGCTTCCACTGAATGTGTCTAGCGCATCGGATGATAAGAGTCAGACCCTATTGAACCGAGACAGTCATTGCTCTTAGCTTAGACTGCTGCCTGGGCTTAGGCAATCGCCAACAATAATAAGGCGTAAAAGCCGTAAAGTATTATAGTATTGACAAGGGCGTTACGCAAACTCGTGGCATTCGCCTCTCGGACCGAATCCAGATAATACGCCAATAGGATAACCGCACTGAAGCGCTACAATACATGCCTAGGCAAGCAAGTTTATAACCGTCCCATCCTGATACCCCTCAACGCCAGAATGTCCGCTCGCCGGCATGACCATCAGTGTGCGTCGCAAAGTCCAGATCCATCGTTGGCCGAACCAACGGCTTGTGTCAATCGGTGACAATTCTTACTCAACGCCCTCGACTTTCCTCAGAAATTCCCTGACACGGCCAACTTCCACACCCTCGCCTTCTTCGCTGTCCAGAGCCGCCACCAGGCCTTCGAGACATTCTTCAATCCTGTTCTCTTCTACCTTTGTGCATAGACTGACGACCTTACGGTACATCATCTCCAGTTGCCCGTCCTTCTCTTTCAGCATCTTACTCCGTTTGAGTAGTGCACCGTTCGCGTTCGTGTAGGTGTGTAGTCGTTGTTGGAGGACGGAGGCGGCGGGGAGTTGCTGGACTGCATAGGCCTGATATTGTGGCTGATGCGATACCTGTTTGAGAGTTGCAGGATCCAGTGGAATGGTTGTCGACAGATAGGGGGCTCCATCTGATGCGCGGCAATCCAGATGGTCGCCTGCTTGCCGGAGCTCGTAAGGCAAGTCGTCTTCCTTGATGAGCATGCCTGCACCTTCCGCATCGGCGTATCCTATCCTCTTCTTCTCGTGCAAATCGATGTCCCCTGCATTGACAGAAAGCATATGCCGTTGCGGCTCAAGCCAACGCTTCAGATTCGATATCCGTTTAGCGCGATCTTGTCGTAAACGTAACCGAGCACGTAGTGACTCTAGCCTTTGCTGCTCCTGCTTCTGTTGAGTAGACAGTTGGGTGATCAGCTCATTCGTTTGATCTATGGTGTCTTGTTTCAGACGCGCTTCTTGCGTGAACTGCATTGAAGCGGACTGGAGAATGCCATTCATCACTGTAATCATATTAGCGGGATTCTCGTAATAGATACGAATTCAAACTTACAGGGTTGTATCTCTCGGCTGGTCTCTTCGACCTTGCTCAAGGGCGCCTTGCCCTTGCTGGGGCTGTTTGCGGCGATTATGACTTCGCCATCGCCAAGATCGCTGCCAACACCGAAGTCGATCGGTCTCGTGCCTTTGTGATTGGGTATGGTCGGGTCCGCCTGAACTTCCATGAGCTGAGAGATAATGTTGCGATTGCCTATCCTTGCGGCTAGGTTGAGTGCTGTGTTGCCGGCTTTGTCGCGTGCGTTGACCATCTCTTGCATAAACCTCATCAATCCTATTGGTTTCGGGTAGTTGCTGGTGTCGTGGAAAGAAGGCACCTGGTTGGCGCCAATGTTGCTGCGTACGAGATACTCAAGAAGTGCCTCGAGGTAGTACTTGCTGGAGGCCGCACGCCCTTTTATGGCACAGGTCACCGCGATGTGATGCAGTATCGTCCGTCCCTGGGAGTCGCGGAGTTCGATAAGTGGCGCCAGGATCTCGAGCGTTTCTGGGAAGCAGCTGTGGTCTAGGCTGTTGTTGACGGAGACTGCACTCATTAGTGGTGTTTGACCTGAGGCATTTCCTCTGAACATGTTAGCTCCTTTGGAAACTAACAGCCTCATCAACGACACTCGGGCCAGTGTCGCGGCCCAATGTAGAGCTGTATTTGAGGTGTTGTCAATTGGCATGTCCAGATCTGCGCCAGAGAGGTGAAGTATGGCTGGATGGTTCGTGAAGTCTGTCCTAGTCTGATCCGCGAATAGATCCGTAAGCATGGCTTGCTTCTCTTCGTTGTGCTTGGTGTCGGGGTGCGGTAGAGGTGGCAGGGCTGAGGGAACCTCGCCGTCGGGAAGTGCAATGCGCTGTCCAGTCTGGTGTTGGTAGAAGCTCTCGCTTGGTTCTGTCGGCGAGCCAAGATCGCGCATAGACATGTCTGCACCGTTGGGTTGTGAGTAGGATTCATCTTGGGATGTTCGCATGCGTTTCCTTGGCGGCTCTTGCGGGTCTTCAAGGCCTGTGCCATAGGCCGAGTCGGTGTGTCCGTTCTGCCCGCTGAAACTACGCTCCGATGCTACGCTTTGCTGGCTGCTGGTGCGGAACGATTCTTGGCTGGCGAGGGGTCCTTGTGACGGCCGTGCCATGCTTCTCCGGCCCTGCGAGGAGGAAGCGGGTCGCGGTGCGGGTGAATTAAGTCGCGCGACCTTGTTCATGGCGGCAAGTGCGCTGGTGGCTGTCGAGGAGATGTTGCTGAAAAAGGTACCGCCGACACTCTGGCTAGTAGTGCGGCCGTCCATGCTCTGGGTGTAGAAGCGCTTCCTGTTTGCTGCCATGGCCTGCTCTTTGGTGGGCGTCTCGATGCCCTGGCCCTGTCCCTGGTTGCCATCGACGCTGACATCGTAGTCCAGCAGCGGGCGCAAGACATCCTCGACGCCGTACTGGCGACAAAACTCTCTGCCGCGGCGGTAGCAGATCCATGTGCCCTGGTACTTGCCGTAGCCGCCCTGGACCTTTTCGTGTTCGCCGTTCAGTATCTCCTTCTCGAGGACCTTGGTGCGCTTTCCTTTGTCAACGCCAGCCACCTTGAGGATCTGGGTGGCATTGAGCCAGCCGTCAGAGCGTCGGCGCATAACAGCGACCCGATTGACTTCCATTTCGTAGACAGAGACGCCCGAGTAAACAGCCTAGATTGTCAGCGACTTGGTGCGACTGCGCAAATGCGGTGGTGGTGGTGCCTACGGTGTATATCTGGGGCTTCTCCATGGCGTGCTGCTGGTAGCCGTTCATGTCGGAAAAGGACCGGTTGAAGCCAGCGGGCGCGGCCATGAGTCCCTGGCTGTGGGGAGAGTTGGCGTACATGGCCGACTGGGGCGGCGAACCTGCGGGAAAGGATAGCGACGAGCGCGCGACTTGCATTATGTCAGCGCAGTGCTGGCGGGCGTGGTGATGGTGACTGTACGGGTCAAACGATCATGGGGGCAGGCGCGGACAGAGGCTGGGCGCAGCGTGGGCAGGTGCAGTCGGGGTGCGCAGCCGTGGGCCGTAAGCGGAAGCCTCGGTGGAGGGTGCGATGGGCGATAGGCGATATGCGCCGTATCAGGACTCGATGTTGATATGCGGGTGGGCGGGGGGTGAATGTGCCGTCGCTCGTGGAGACTCTAGAGGAGTGGAGATTCCAGAGGTCGCGTCTACGCGTCGCGGCCAATCAGCCGCCGCCCGAGTTTCCTTGCCCAGAGCACGGCCACGACCCGTCTGCTACCTTCCGGCTCGTCTCCCGCATGCCTACGCCATTCCAGCAGAGCGCGTCACGTCTGCGGCCAGTCCATCTGCTGCGTGCCCTGCTGCGTGAGGCGTCGTACCTGCCCGATGCGACAGCCCGCACCTACTTCCGCCGCTACATTGTCAGCCGCTTCAAGGCGTATCAGCCCAAGCAAAATGCGACGGCTTCCTTCGACGTCCAGGCCGTGGAGAAGTACAAGCACAGGAGCTTCAAAAGGCGGCAGATAGCGATCATCAATGAGCGCACACGACCAATGCTCAGGAAAGGGCAGAAGGGCCTGAACTTCCTGCGCCGGGCCAACCTGGGCGAGATACCATGTCTGCAGAAGGTCCTGTTCTTCGCCTATGGGCGCATGGGAAGGAGGAAGTACATCTTGCTAGAGAGATTGCTGACGCCAGACCACATCATGGACGGCGGCGCACTCGCAACGCCCATCGACCCAGGGCAGGCACCGCTGCAGAAGCTCTACTACAGCAATAAGCGCTATCTGCAGTATTTCGATGCGCCCAAAGCCGCCTCCAAGACCGAGTATACCATCAACATCTCTAGCCGCTACTCCCGATTGCGCGCCGTCCTCAAGTCGCAGTGCCAGAAGGGCATCTCCATACACCGAGGGATCAAGCGTCCAGCCATGAAGACGCCTATCAACAATGTCTGGGAGCGGCCCATGCCGATCAAGCGCGCAGTCAACAATGTCCGACGCTGGTATGCCGAGACTATGACGAGATTACTCCCTCCATTACCGACCGAAGAGTGGGATAATATACATGCCATGGTTGTTGGGGACCGAAAGATCGATTTGGTCAGACGGAGAGGCCGCGCTTCAGTATTGAGTGCTGAGCCATTCGTAGAAGACGACTTCTTCGCCCGCACAGTAGAAGAAGGTATCGCTCTAGACAAGCCTAGCAGAGCAGACATGCCTGCAGGCGTGCAGCGACCGCATACCATCAACCCTAGGTTCATGAAACGCATGTATACAAAGCTCCTCATGCTCTGCTGCAAGGCCGAGTATGACGACGAGCAGAAGCGATGGAAAGCAATCTGGGGCGAACCTATGAAGTACATCAAACCCAGTCTCTACAACGTCCCTACAGATGAAGCGCTCTTTGCAGGTGTTGATGCTACAGGCAAGATCCCGAAGGCGCCCAAGAAGCATCTGCTGGAGAAATCACAGCATGTCCAGCCACGGAATGCCGAGGGTGAATACATGCGTTTCCCCTTCTTTGCCGAACAGCTTCCTGAAGAGCACCCGATACGCAGGGAATTGGATGAATGGAAGAGAAAACGTGCTGCTGCGAGAGGACAAAAGCGGGAAGCGTCGTAGGCCTGAAGGCGGGGCACTTAAGTACACACCCCACAAACTTGGAACGCGATCTGTAGGGCGCGTCTTACATGTACATAAAGTAGGCAGCACTCAGCACCCTACTTTGACCGTCACAGTGCATTGAGCAACGTTTTGACAAGCACAATGGCATCTTCAAGCGCAACAATTCGCCACGCGACCCGTGAAGGTAGGGTATCCCCAGCCCACAGTAGAAGCCTACTAACAGCCTGTGCAGATGTTCCTACCATCCTAGCCCTTATCAAGGAGCTTGCGCTCTACGAGAACGCCAGCGACAAGGTTGACTCAACCGAAGAAATCCTTACGCGCACCCTCGCACACTACGACCCTTCCACCTCGACCTTCTCTGAAGGCTTCGCCCGTACACTCCTCCTCAGCGACCCCGACGGCACGGTAGCAGGCATGGCTCTATACTACTACAACTACAGCACATGGACAGGCGTGCCAGGCATCTACTTGGAAGACCTCTTCGTCAAGGAAAGCTACAGGAAGAAGGGCTATGGCAAGAGACTTCTTAAGGAGCTCGCTGGAGAGGTGCTCAAGGTCGGAGGCAGGAGGCTCGAATGGAGCTGCCTGGACTGGAATGAGCCCAGTCTGAAGTTCTACGAGAGCGAGATCATAGGAGCGCAAAGGAAGACGGCATGGGTAGGCTTGCGTGTGGATGGAGACGCATTGGAGAAGCTTGCGAAGTCGTAATCTTGAGAGACAAGAACCTATCTGATGATTGCTGAGACTTGGCTCATTCTCGTTTGCTCCTGTTTGCTTGAGGAACAGCCACGTGAGCGCGCGTAACCAGGTCCGTGCGCTGCAATCGTCATAACGTCTTACAACAACGACTGCACATGTACTCTTTACCCCTCAGGCCTCAGTCAACTCAAGTTACAGCTCCCTATACTTTGTAGCTCGCAACACCACCATGGCCAGCCCGCCATTCATGGTCGAATCGGCTGAGATCGAAAGCTGTTGGGAGCAGCTGCGCAAGTGAGTTATTATGAATGTAACGCAATCTGGCAGCAGTACTAACACATCACAGACTACTAAAGCACGAGTACGAACAGACTGCGCTCAACGAGATCCAACAATCTGTCAACCTACATGAAGGCCTTGAGGATATCCTTCACCTCACCATCGACGCAGATAGTTCCCCGATACCCACTATTGATAGTATCAAATCGAATTTGGGAGTTGCGCGGGATGTCAGCAAGGAAATCAAGGAAGCTACAAAAGCCTACAATGTCGCTGTATGCCGTACTATCGGACCTGCCGTGTACGGAAGATTACCCCGAGAACTCCGCGATATGATCTACGGGTATTTGACTACGCGTCTAACGTATATCTGCTTCGAAGATGTAAAATTTGTCTTGGACAATGCCGATACGTATTCTATCTGCCCAGAGTGCTACTGGCGACCCGATGTCATCGGTTCTGAAGTAGCTCATGAGCTCAGAGAATCTTGGTACCGGGACACGACGTTCTACGTCGAGCGCGATCAGTCCACCGAGTACCTGGTCAACAAAGACTATTTCAACGCAGGTCTGCAACCCCGCGAACTCATCACCAACCTCATACGCCGAATCTGGATCGAGGAAAGAGAGACAGAAGCAGCAAACGCGCAGATCCTGAGATATATCGACGAGCTGTTCCTGTTGAGGACAGTTACACATTTATGTGTTGATTTGAACATGTCTAACCTCAGGCTCATTGACAAGGGTAGGATGTTCAGGGGAATTCTGCAGCTTATACGTCCGACGATTCTACGTCTGCGAAGATCAGGTTATCAGTGTAAAATCACAACAAGCGACGACCGATTTGGGGAAGGCATGTTTCTTGGTACTATCAAGCAGTGGGAGGACGAGCTTGAAAGGGAGATCGAGAGGGGCGATAGTACTGCGCGAAGCGGTGTCTAGGCGGAAGGGAGAGGACCTGCCGTAACAGGAAGAAGGCAAGGTATATCCCCAATTGCGTTCTCGAGTTTTCTGGGCTCAACCAGAATATACCGAGGAGCGTAGGAGTGCCCATCGGTTAAAGATTGCGATAACGTAGTGGACAACCATGACTCATGGGTGACAACCAGTATTGTGCTTGGTTTGAACTTGGAGGTTGAATTTTAATACCACAATAGTGGCCCCATCACGTCTGGTCTCGAGTTCATCGATATCTAAGAAGATATACTTTCCATCTCGCTATTCCCTCTACTATGCTCAGCTGCGATTCGAACAACATGAGTCCAGCTTACGTATATCTCTAGGCCCCTCTCGTCAACAATCACCGGCGGCAAACTCCCTCATCAAAAACATCGAATGCCTAACTTTCTGCCTTCGGTTTTCGGATTCCATCGCCAGCCGGCCCGAGATGAATGGAGGTTTCGGGGGGCTCGGAAGTCTTGGGCCGTAGAAGGACCGACCCGTCAGTATCGATCAAGATGAGTACGCGTGGATCATGACGGCAACTCTAACGATCAACAGTGTGCGAATGTAGTTTCGCAAGACGGAATCTGGTGGGCTGGCGATACACAACACATCTCTCCAAGTAGGAGGACGCGGGAGTGAATGAAGTAAAAGTGCGCGCTAATTTCAACATGACGGACACAACGACTGTAAGAAGGATCTCATTCTACGACCATATTCACGAGATACCATAGCAAAATTAGCGACCACTACCCATTCATGACAACAGGGTACAAGGTAGGGGGTATCTTTACCTAGAGTGTTCGCCATAATACCCAATCTACGAGTTTCCTCGTGGCAGCCAGCCGGACTTTGCACCGCACCATCGCACAACATGCGGTTGATTAGTTTAAGACTTTCCCATTTGAGCCGATGACAAAGGAAGAGGCGGCTTAGAGGGCATGTCGGGTTCCACAAAATTCAGCCACGAGCTGAAAACTCCAAAAATCACAAGGATCGGGGGTACACTCTCCGCTTCGGAAACATGACCGGTCCGAAGCCGATGAATTGTAGATTAACAGGGAACTTACTTACCTTTCTTAGGCATAGCAAATCGAACGGAATATAGAAGCCTCACTACTGAATCGAGTCAGCTATGCTGACCACTTACTTGATAGGACCTTGTGTGCTAGCAAGGTAACACACGGCTGAGCATGTACTGACAGTCAAAAGGTAACGGCCCTTCTGGTCGGACTCGGACGCTGACATACTTCCACGGCTGGGATTCAGGCCTCATGGATAGGTTCAAGAATACCTGCACGCGTAGACATGGGGTAGTCAGTATATATGAGGAAGCTGCTCATCGATGTTAAGACACCACGAACGAACATCTCAGCTTCCAAATCTCCACCACAATCGTTACCGCCAGTATGCATTCTCAGTTCATATCTCCCCGGATCGGGAAGAGCGCCATGCTCCTCCTGCTCTCCTCCTACCTTTCGAGCTACGCATTTGCGACGGCAGTCCCTGAATCCGTCGATGTCGCCGTGATAGGCGCAGGACTTTCCGGCTTGACAGCAGCACGAGACCTTCTCCACGGCGGCAAATCCGTTATCGTGCTCGAAGCTAGAGACCGCGTCGGCGGCAAGGTCTACAACCACCCACTGAAGAATGGCGGCGTCACCGAAGTAGGGGCCGAATTCGTCGGTCCAACACAGGACAAAGTGCTGGAGATGATCTCCGATCTGGGACTGCAGACATTCGATACATACAGCGAAGGGAAATCCATCTTGTGGAGGAACGGCACTCGGACGGCCTATACTCCTGATCCGGCACTTGGTGGCTCACCGCCAGTGGACATGGCGTCTCTTCCTCTGGTTGCCAGTGCGCAGAAGCAACTAGACGACTGGGCAGCTGAAGTCAACACGAGTGCCCCATGGACACACCCTAAGGCTAAGGAGCTTGACAGAATGACGTTCCAGCAGTACATCGATCAGGCAGCACCCCACGCGGACGCCGCCCTTGTCTTGACCACAGCCAGCAAGGCCATCTGGGCTGCGGAGCCACGAGAACTCTCTGTGCTCTACGTCGTCGCATATATCGCAGCAGGCGGAAACGAGACAAACGTCGGAACACTGGCTCGACTGATTGGCATCCAAGGCGGAGCTCAAGAGAAGCGAGTCGTAGGCGGAACCGGTCTGATCCCAGAGCGTCTTGCCGAGAAGGTCGGACACGAACACATCGTCATGAAGGCCGCCGTATCAGCCGTCACCAAGACATCGAACGGCTACAAAGTGGTCTCCCGAGCAGGCACCGTCCACGCAAAGCAAGTCGTCCTCGCCATGGCGCCTCCCCTCCTCCGTCAAATAACCTTCTCACCCGCCCTCCCCACCACCCGCCAACAGCTCAACCAAGCAATGAAGATGCCATCCATCGGAAAAGGCATCCCCATCTACAGCACCCCCTTCTGGCGCAAGACCGAAGGCCTAAACGCCCAAGTCATCTCGGACAACGGATCCACACGTGTAACCTTCGACTCCACACCCGAAGACACCAAATTCGGCGCCCTCCTCGGCTTCCTCCTCGGCGACGAAATGCGCGCGCTCGACGCCCTCAGCCCCGCTGAGTGCGAAGAGAAGATCCTGTCAGACTACGTGCGGTATTTCGGCGAGGAAGCAAAGACCAACACGGAGTTTGTGTTGCAGCGCTGGGACTTGGAGGAGTGGTCCAGAGGAGGACCTGTGGCGGTTGCTCCGCCTAATGTGCTCACAAAGTATGGTCAGGCGCTGACGATGAGGGCCGAGGGGTTGCATTTTGCGGGCACGGAGACGAGTCCGTATTGGACTGGTTATATGGACGGAGCTATCCGGAGTGGAGAGCGGGTTGCTAAGGAGATTATGGGAATGGGGTACTGAGACTTGCCAGGATTGGAGTAGTAGTCATGGTGGTGGTAGTGGTAGTGGAGGGGTTACATCGTGATCTTGCCGTTCAAATCTGTATTTAGAACCCTAATTCTGTCTCCGGATCATCTCTAGCAAAGCAAATGGGATACTCTTTTCAGCAAGACGGGGTCGTGCCATATTTTGGGTCGCCGCAAAGCAGGAGTCTAGGTTCCTAGTTCCCAGCGCCATATCCGGGGAAGGTGTTCGTGATCGACAGGCCCGCGCCGAATATACTTTCAGTAGCTGGGGTTGCTAACCTGCGAATTGCTTACTTTGACGCCAGATCGACATGTCACGGTGAGCCTCGGCTCCACCGTACACCATGAGGTTTGTGTATAATAGGAAGCTGTAGGATGTGGGATTTGCTTTTTTATCATCCCAGCGTCCTTCTGACTCGTGTCTTGCTCTTACCATCTCATACTCGCTTCAAACCACTGATTCAATCGCAAGATACCTCACCGATATCATGCACTTCTCACTTCCCCTCCTTCTCCTCCCCGCCATTGCGTTCTGCGCGCCAGTTGCGGAAATCTTGCCTACGGCACAGGATGTGATTCAGTCGGTGGTCAACATCCACAGCGCTGTTCTCGAACTTGATCAGAAAGTGCAAACTTTTCAGGGTGGTTCTTTCGAGACCGCCTTTGTAGAAGGCAAAGAAGTGCTCGCGGGCGTAGCGAAGATCCACGAAGTAAACCGCGAAGGGTTCCGACGAGCAACCCTGGCTCTACCGCCATTCTCCATCAAGGATACTACCGATCTGATCAACACTGTCGTAGCAACTGGTAGGTCATCATCACGGCCCTTCCTGCACAGACAGAATGCTAACACTCACCGTGAGCAGTCAACGTCAGCATCCCGAACGCGACCAAGCACCTCCAAGAGAAAGAACCCGTGTTCAAGGCGAACGGCTTCTCAGCCGTCGTTATCGCCAGTCTGGCGCTGTTGGAATTCGACCACGACACGTTCAGCGCGGCAGCAGCGAAGAACTTCAACCTTGCTACTCCGAAGCCGAAGTTGGACGAGGGCATCGCGGCGGCAGCGAACATCCACAAGGTTATCCAGGATACTATTGTGTTCTACACTGTAAACGCGGTCGTGTAGAAGGGAGGATTGTATCTCAGGTGGTGTACAGCGGTGTAATGTCCGTTCATGATAGGTGCCACGCATGTGCGCTCCGTAGGAAGTCGCGTCCGTATCAATACAAACACGTGCCCGATGTATCCGCCTGCGTCTGCACCTGCACCTGCACATGCACATGCACATGCACATGCGGAAAAAAGTAAACATGCCACCGATGACGTATCAGAGTGATCGCCCACCAACCTTGTTTCTCTCCACAGTCTAGATGCCGCTAGCTCTCCCGTAGCGCTCCATGCCATCATCCATTGTCAGCCTCAGCCCCAACTTTTCGGGTGCTCTGATCTCCAGACTTCCCTGTTGCACATCACCACTCTTGCCAAATTAACAACAACTCCACATTACACTCGCTACACGACAACCCCCCAGCGAAATTCCTCACAATGGGTATCTGCGGCAGCAAAGAGAAAGCGGGCGAGTCAACCGAAATGGCACGACCCTCGCAATCACAAAACGCAGCCTCGATTGCGCAAACTCAACAAAACATCCCCGTCGCCAATGAAGGTCCCACCGTAAAACCGCGCAGGTCCCCCGACAACCCCATCGTGTACTTCGACATTGCGATTGGCGGCAAGCCAGCCGGCCGCGTGCAAATGGAACTCTTCCTCGACGTTGTACCTGCGACATCAGAGAACTTCCGCCAGTTCTGCACAGGCGAGGCGAAGCGCGGCGGCGGGTACAAGGGCAGCACTTTCCACCGCGTTATTCCCAACTTTATGATTCAGGGAGGCGATTTCATGAATGGGGATGGTACGGGGAGTGCGAGTATCTTTGGGGGCGATTCGTTCGACGACGAGAACTTTGAGCTAAGGCATACGCATCCTGGGCTGTTGAGTATGGCGAACTCTGGGTACGTGAACTCTTGTGTGGGATGATAGCTTGACGTTGCTAATATTTCCACAGGCCCAACACCAATGGTTCTCAGTTCTTCATTCTGACTGCTGCGACGCCGCATCTTGATCGCAAGCACGTCGTATTCGGGGAGGTGTTGGATGGTATGGATGTTATAAGGAAGATCGAGGCGACAAGGACTGGCCCCGGTGACAAGCCATTGAGCGATGTCGTTATCGCTGGATCAGGGCAGTTGTCAGGCGCAAAGCCATTGGCTTAAGACGGGAGGAGGTAATAAAAGCAGGTCGTCTCGCGGTACATAGGTTTCCAGGTCTTGGAATCGTAATGATAATGTAATACATCTCTGCAACACAGTGCAACTATACTTCACCTAGCAGTATATCTTGCCTTGAGATTCTATCAATATTCATTTCAAGGCTAATGTAGACCGCAGCGCACCTGTTCAGTTCTTTCTATACAAGACACTCCTGCTATTGTACCAGCTCGCCCAGCTCCGCCATCTGGATACGCATAGCTTCCTCCTCCCAGAACTCCGCCAGCTGCTCAGCTCCCCTCCTACCACCCCACTGTCGCCCGCCTTGGTCCATATCGCCTTCGACTCCATCCATGAGGCGCCGAAAGCAGCTCTTGAACTTGGGTTCGTTGAAGTGGTGGTAGGGGTGGTCCGGATTGAGCCATGCTGAACAGATATAGCAGAAATGTGTTTGGCACTGCGCGCAGGTCTGCAGAGATACGAAGTCAGTATGTGTGCCACATGCATTTTACGCGGGTCGGAACTTACCATATGATTGCAGCCGTAACCTTTCTGGCAGGGTACAGAGCAGTACGGGCATGGTGTTGTGTTCTTCATGATGAAGTTGAGTGATGCTTGGTCGTCCTCGGTGAGCTCTGTGACATTGCGTGGCTCGCAGCGTACGAAGTCTCCGTGCCACGATGCTAGGCAGATGACACAAAAGGCAAGGGTGCAATCTTCGCAGACCTGCAACCGCTCCATACCTCGTACGCCGACTCCACGCTTTTCTGGGCCGCTTTCGATCTCGGTCTCCTGTGGTTGAGCTGGGCCCTCATCGTCTGCTTCAGAATCTGAATCGTCCATCTGCGTTACGTCCGTAATCTTAGGGTATTTGTCAGACCGCATAGCGCCTTGACACCATTTGCGCGGACAATATACGATGTTCGGGTCGGATTCGATCTTCTTCTTCCGCTTAATCTTCGCGTATCGCTCGACCTGGTCGCGGGATATAGGGATCTGTAACAGCTCCTTGGGTGACAGTAGCCGGTCCTTCTTCTTCCCGCTACTACCGCACTCCGTAGACATGCATTTGATATTGTTGACGTTTCCCTCTGTTATACAGCTGTCGTAGTATTCCTGAAGGCAGTTGATGCAGAAGACATGGCTACAGCGGGCCATGCGATAGCACGCGGATCCCTTCTTCGGCTCGAGACAGACTCCACAATCGAATGTGTCTTTGTCAAACAGCTCCTTCTTCATCCGCCGACTATAGTCAACCAGCTCCTTCTGCATGGACGAGGGTAGTGTGAGGTCTTCCAAGCCAAAGGCATTCTCGGCCTGTTCTTGGAGAGAGCTGATATACGAGAAGAGTATGGAACCCCCTCCATACTCCTCCCAAAGTGTCTTCGCTTCGGTTGTCAGTCGGGCCTGTAGATCCTCGCGGATCCATGAAGGCGAAGTCGACAGTCGAATTACAGGCGGTAGACGTTCGGGATATTCGGCAGGCAGTATGATTTCGAGACGCAGCGGAGGTAGGTATGGGAGTCGTTCGACATCTTGCTGTGGCTCAAAGGTAATCGGCAGAGGCTTGGCGGGTGCGACGAGCAGTTCGAGAGTGGCCGAGTACGGATCACTATCGTTGATGACCAACTCCGGGTAGATGGACTGCAGCGTGCTGAGCTCTTCGGCGCGCTCGTCATCCAGGTTGAACTCGGTCATGGCGGCAGATGGTAGGAATGCCGCGCTTCTATCGGCGCGTGGGTTGTATATGAAAGTGGCGGCGGCGGAGAGAGGGCGGAGATAAGTCGAATGCGGTTGGAAAGTGTGAAAAGGGCGTGGCGACTCTCTTCTATCGATAGCGCATAAAGGCAAAAGCCCCCTTGAAGAGGCCCATTGTGAGTCAGGCGCTGGCTGCAATCACTGCGATTCCATAGAGGCTTTCAAGAGCCAGGCCGTAGCAGCAGATGCGAGCATGTATGTAGCACAATGCCATCACCGAGGTATCTCGCATGCCAAGGCCGACAGGGTACCGCCGGGATTGTGCCGTCATGGACACGGCATGCGCACCCTTCACTCTTGACACGCTGCACCTCCCACGTGAAGTTGCTATGGAGGCCCCTCCGCTTGCGTCGCTGTCCTTGACGCATGTCCACTATGTTGGTCTCATCTACTGACAGCCAGAGCCGCTGCTAATCCACCCAGAATCCCGCCGACCGCGTCTCCTACCTCTGCGCATGGCTTGCGCTTGTGCCCCAGGGACTCTGCGTCGTCTATGCGACGCTGATATGGTCAAATCGCGAGATTGAGATATTCCTCATGTTCGCTGGCCAAATGGCGTGTGAAGCGCTCAACTGGGTTCTGAAGAGATACATCAAAGAAGAGCGGCCGCGGGGTAACGTTCGCAAAGTATATCATGTGAATGTAATACTGATAATTTTACAGAAATGCATGGAAAGGGCTACGGAATGCCCTCCTCCCATGCCCAGTTCGTCTCCTTCTTCTCCGTCACCCTAGGCCTCTTTCTCCTCTTTCGGCACGTCCCACACCCGACCGAAACCCACACCCCCTTCTCTTTCGGCGGCCGCGTCCTCCTTTCGCTTCTAGCAATGGTTTGCGCAGGAGCTGTAGCAGCAAGCAGGATATACTTGAGCTACCATACACCAAAGCAGGTTGTCGTCGGATGTGCCGCCGGAGCCCTCTTCGCTCTAGCTTGGTTCGGCTTCACCACCTTCCTGCGGAAAGCCGGCTGGATAAATTGGGCTCTCGAGACCTGGGTCTTGAGGACGTTGCGCGTGCGAGATCTCGTAGTGCAAGAAGATCTCGTTGATTCTGGCTGGGCACGCTGGGAAGACCGAAGGAAACGACAGATCTTCCAAGTCCAGGGTAAGAAAAGCAGGTGAGCTCTGAAATCTTTGTATATATTACTACGGTACGAGGCTGTCGTAATCGTATCCGCTTGTCAATACTCAAATAGATGTGTAGCGCAACACAAAACAAGATTGGCGACTAGGCCGACTTTCAAGCCTCTCGACATTCTTAGCTCCCGTGCGCCGTCGAGATCTCCAGAGCTTCTTTCCGCGGAGTCACTTTCGTTCGTTCAACATCTCAGCCTCCAGACAGGCATGTCCCTAGTACCAATCACAGATCATCGTCATGACATCTGTAACAGCCACCAACGTCAGGCTAGTCGTGGCTTCAGCCGTGTGCAACGGCATATTCTTGCTCTTCCAACACTTCGAAACCTATCATCTCCCGTGCTGCCTTAACAAAATACTTATCTCCAGTCAGCCGTGGCTGAAGTTTGCCGTTCACAAGCGATGATCCCCACACTTAATGGTTCGGACTATATGTGGACCCTTGACGTGCATCTTCCGTCACAATCGTCATGCCGCCGTCGCCGTGCCGTTGGCTATGACAAACCCGTCAATCCGAATGATTGACCGCTATGGTATAACGGCGGCCGTAATTCCTTTTAGGTCGTCTTTTAGGTCGGGTTTCCCCAGCTTAGGCGTCCATGTAGTATCTGTCGTCCCTCGTCACCATTTTGTACACTCTGTTGTGCGAATACCTTTGTCGATATATCCATCCTCAGTAATCTCTGATCCGACTTCATCTTCCGACGATGCCACGCATGAACACCTACCGCGAGCCCAAACCCCCACCGCACCGTTCCCGCAGCCACCAAAGAAGCCAAAGCCAAAGCGAAAACAGCAGTCCCCTTCCACGCAATGAATCGGACTACGACGTACCCGCCCCGGAACCCAAGAAACATCTCAGCAGTTTAGAAGGGCACCTCGTCGCAGCGAGTGGAGAATTTGTTGGCACATTCATGTTTCTCTACTTTGCTTTTGCCGGTCAGCTCATGATCATCAACCAAGCAAGTGATCGGTCGATTCTGAATGGGTTTGCGAGCAGTCAGCAGAATATCTTCATTGCTTTGGTGTATGGGTTCAGTTTGTTGGTCAATGTCTGGGCGTTCTTTCGCATTAGCGGGGGGTTGTTCAATCCAGCGGTATGTACCCTTCCAGTATCCTCCAGGATACGCGTGAGTATGTCGAGCGATGCTAACATATCCCCAGGTAACCGTCGGCATGGTAGTTGCCGGTCAACTCCCCTTCATCCGATCCCTCTTTCTCGTTCCCGCTCAGCTACTCGCATGCATGTGCGCGGGTGGAATCGTCCAGGCTATGTTTCCTGGAGACATTAGCGCTGTGAATACTTCGCTCTCCCAGGACACGTCTATCGCCCAGGGAGTCTTTATCGAGATGTTTATGACCGCCGAACTCGTCTTCGTCGTGCTTATGCTGGCTGCTGAGAAGAGCAAATCTACATTCTTAGCTCCGATAGGCATTGGATTGGCGCTGTTTGTAGCTATGATGGGCGGTACGTTCTCCGTTTCGCTTTTAGGGTACTGAGCTGACAAGTACTAGGTGTATACTTCACTGGCGGATCGCTCAACCCCGCGCGCAGTTTCGGTCCAGCTGTTGCTTCAGCATCGTTCGTCGGATACCACTGGATCTACTGGGTTGGTCCTTTACTCGGTGCGCTCCTTGCTTCGGCATACTACCGCTTCGTGAAGCACTTCAATTACGAGCAAGCGAACCCGGGGCAGGACTCTTCGGGTGGTCACTTCTCTGCTTGAGTGACCTCGAAGTCTTCATGCGATACTTGCTCGCCAAACAAGTAAAATTGGATCAGCCGCCTGGCATACACATGCACTTTGGCCAGAGTGATTGGGTAATCCTTCGGGAATTAAGGAAAATCGGGAATTCGAATACATAGCGTGGAGTTGTGGGAGTATTTTGTGGGTAATGGACTACCAACGTATATATCAGAGCAGGTGTTGTTGCTCAGCGAAGCATTTGCTCTCGTTAGGATCTCGGACCATGTCAATCTTTCGTACGATAAACTAGTTACAGACACCGATGTCGAGGATTGCATATATTTTCATCACGATGGTGGTTGTATAGGTATGTTGTATAGGTATGTTGTATCTGGATGACTTGACGAGCGAGGTTCAGAGCTCTTCTCCAAAAGCTTTTGTAACAGGCGTGGCGGTACAAAGATTTCAGCATCCAAGTGTTTGCTCTTCGGTACCCACCGTACTGCATGAAAGGACTACACACGCCATCGCTACTGTTGAAGATAATTGCGTCGACGTGGAACCTTGCAAATCTTCATGGCCCCGTTGGTTTATCTACTACGCGGGTGGTTGTGGGTTGCACGTGGAGCTACGAGAAAGGATGCCGCACGACATGCAGCGCAGTCGGCGGAGCGTCGCTGCCGGAGCTCCGTCTATGGAGCGCCTCAGATGCGCTGCATCAGGTAACGAGCGGCATCGTCATACCCAGAAATGCATCGAGCGTATTGGTGCGCATGCACATCATACCTCCTACGCGGGCGTACCCGATCAGCTATGTGAAGCGCGACCTGGTCCTAGCGCATACTGACACTGTCTTCTGGCTGAAGCCGTCCCCTCGGGACTTCCCCAGGGTAGCTGCAGATACACTACCGGTTTTCGTGTCGTGGCTGAGCTCCGCCAAAATCATGTCAACGTATCTATACAATCTCATGGCTTTTTTATCGAAGGCATTCCCGTAAAGTCTTGCTATTACGGCGATTGAGAAAAAGATTATCAAAGATCGAAAGATAGACCATTTGTAGGACGTACTCAAGCGGCCTTCCAGGTGTCTCTGTAGTCAGAAGCCCGCGACGTTCTATTGTTCGTAGAATGTACTCGGTACATTGAACTGGGAACAGACCCACTTTGAGCGTTTCGAGGAACCCTCTGATGTGCGGACATGCCAAGACTGAAAGGTATGCCATACATTGCCTTGATTCGTCAATCGCGAAGAAAGTGGGTAGCATGTGCTGTGTGGCTTGCATGAAGGGGTCGCGGGTGCCCAGGGACGTTTGCCTTCTTTTGCCTCGCCGCCTAGTAGGCGAACCACAGCAAAGGTATGATTTATTTAAAAGGTATGAACAACTCAATGAACTTCCCACTTTGAAGAACAGAAGAGACGCGAGACAGCACTGAACCAAAAGTTTCCGGCACCTCAGCCCGACTCTGTTCTCTTCGACTCTCTTTACAATTTCATCCTGAACCCGTCAAAAACTACTGCGACCCAGTAACGGACTCTCGTCAACGTCTTTTGTGTCCAGAACACACACCACAAACTACTCTTCACATTCAACATCGCCAAAGATGGAACACGCTGAGGATACGTCAAACCATATTGCTACGCCCATACAGAAGACGCATGCTAGACACCTGAACAGACTGTTGTTCGCAGTCTTGTTCTCGATGCTAGTCATGCCCGTGAGGGCATTGGACGAGCCCCAAGCTTTGTCCCCAACCGCGGACCTAGCCGCAGCCGGCTACTACTACCACCCTCGGTACCCGCTTGGCTTCTTCATCAGCCTACTCTTTCTGATTGGACAATCTTTCGCATCCTTCTCGAGTACCCTAGTCGGGCCGGCGATGGGTATCACCAGCGTGTTGTGGCTCATGTTGCGCAACGATAGTGCCATCAGTCCCAAAGCGTCTTGGACGTGAGTGAACCCTTCCTCATCAGCTTCTCAAGATCTACACCACCGCATACATGCTCACTTCTCCCAGGGTGTTTGGGATATGGTCCTGGTTGACAGCAATGTACTTCCTCATCCAATGCCAGCGGGTGTCGAATCATCGTTTGTAAGTAGTCACCGTCGCCCTATTGGATGCTTAGTCTGACCATGCGTAGATATATTCTTGTAACGATCGCCATAGCCAGTGTGTGTATGAGCCTAATTGCTATTGCTCAGAAGTCGTCGTTACAAAGCGGCCTAGTGACAGCGATACCAACTTGTACTTCCTTTGCCGCATACATCGTAGCTTATTGCTTCCCAGACGGGCGCAGACGAGAGCCAGACGCAGGCGAAAGGAGTACGATGGTATAGCGGCGGACGGTAGTCCCTTTGGTGACCAAAGACGCCTAGAAAAGAGTTGGGTTTCCCGCATCATAAGGCTGGTAGAGCTGAGTCTTCGCATGCACCGCATCGGTTTCCATGCTGCCCAAAGTAGAGACGCAGGGCAACTACTTGTACCATCCTGTCGGTGGTTCTTTCATCTTGAACGGAGGCGCGATTCTTCTGCAATAGAAAGTAACCTTTTCATCTCTTTCCATTTCGCAATTCATCATCGTTAGGCATCCGACAATTAGGTTGTCGACGGAGCGGAATCTCAGTGTACTTCGTATCAGTGAAGTAACTCAAGTCGAACTGCGGTTCCAATCGCTGCTTCTCAGTAACTTCAGTAACCTTTTCTTCTGCATCTTTCGTCTTGGTGTGCGCGCTTCGAAAGAGACGATCCGCATCTTCGCGTGGTGACGATGGCGGCGCAGCTTTGCCAAGCCAAGATGTTCCACGGCCGCGCCAGCAGAGGACGGAACGGGCATTGCCTTGTCCAACAACTTCGAAGCCATCTTCGGTCGCATTGTTCCCAGTGACATCAGGCTCTTCCCACCATATCTCAACGCCGTCGAAGATGTCTAGATTTCGTGCGTTCTGCGCTACGCGAAGCGCCTGCTCCATGTCTGCAACCTCGAATAGGACGACTTTGGCTTCTACGTCTCTGGCAATCTGGAGCAGGCGCGGATAGAAGCGATCGCCCTGCTCTTTATCTGTCTGCTTGATCCTCCGTGGAGGTACCAGCGCGAGCTTTGGCTCGAAACCGCGTACCGAACGCGTTGTCGTGTGCCAAAAGGCAGCTGGCGAGATGTACGGAGGGTTTGAGATGAGAATGTCCCAAAAGGACGGTTGTCCCGCCCAATTGAGCGCTGCCGTCAGCGATAAGACGCCTTCAGTCTGATCGTCAAATGGATTGATCAAGACGTCCGCTTGTATAAAATCCACTTTCCCTGTGTCTTGAAGTTGTCGTGTTCTGCGTAGATTTTGGAGGTTGTATCTCGCGAGATCAAGAGCCTTGTCGGAGATGTCGACACCGAGAAGACGCAGGTCTACTTTGTTGGAGGCGGAGGACAATTCGTGGTGGAAAAGGAGGGGTATGCAGCCGGTGCCGGTGCACAGGTCGAGTACGCGTACTTCGGAAGGGAGTTCTTTCGCATTTCGTAGGAGACCGGCGAGATGTGTGATTGAAGCGGCTGTATCTGCTCTGTTTGTGTCATTGTCGTTAGCCTTGAGCCGGAGAGAAGCCATAGTTCTATATACCTCGGGATTAAGACACCAGGCCTACAGCGTATTTCCAGGTCGCCAAAGTACTCTGTACCCAGCAGATACTGCAATGGCTTCCCAGCGGCTCTATCCTTGACTAATTGTTGCAGTAGAGAAGCCTTAGCTATCGTGTCTCCTTTGGCGCGACGCGCTTTCGCGACTTTCTCGACATGTTCGCGGAGCCATCGCAGCTCGTTCTGGGCAGCCTGCAGTTCGCGACAGGGCCCGAGAAGAGCAGGCAGGTAGGGATCGATTGCGCGCGCCTTGCGGATGAGCGACGTTGGTATCCGTGGCATGTTGAAGGTGACGCGGTGGGGTGGAGTTGCGGTCGCCTCACTAGCGTCGGCTTCATGTCGTCTGGCTGCTGCAGCATCGCGGCGTTTTGTCCAAAACTTCGGTAGGAGAACGACACATCTTGACGTTGCCTTCGACAATAACAACGGAGATCTACAAATTCATCACGATACGACAAAACCTTGTTGGTGCCTATTGGTAGAAAGTATAGTATATCGGCAGCACGTGCTCGGTAAACCTCAGGACACGCGGGCGGCTCCTGCCTCATTACTTTTTCGGCAGCCTGCAGGCCTTCCCTTACACCCGACTCAGTCTTTCGGTTTTCATCGTGAATACGTCTACACTACATCCAAATCAACACTTGGAACAGTGCATGGCATCCAACATGCCGTATAGCTAAGCTTTAATTTCCCCGCGCGACGCCCGTTCTGACCCACCATCCCCAACATCACGCCCATACCCCATACTTTTCTAGTTCACATTTATCCAATTGCTGTGAATAGCGCGCATTACTAACCTAGCTGTATCCACCTGCTGAACGGTACAGTGATACCGAATTTCATTATGAGCTGTCGTGCCTTCTTGGCCCAGCCACACGCGGATGAGTATTTCCAGGCCTCCCCAGGGATCTGTGGCGGGCTCAATGACAAACGAAGAGCACGACCAAACATTGGTATGCTGAACAACCCGTAACAACACACACCGTTTCGCTCTCAGCATACCCAAAGATTCATTCCCATATAACCAGCAATATACCACAAGTTACACCCACCATGCACATCACCAGGCACAGAGACACTCCAGCCCATACAACACCTTCCCCACATCCCTCCAAGCGCAAAGTGCCAAGTCCCCTCCGCCATTGGTTCTGCAAGAGCGGAGAGAGCATCTGACTTGTGGGGTCAAACAACCGCATGTGTCTCTGCATAGAGGACTTGGCAATAACCTTGACTCGGCAGATGGGTAAAGTCGCTGTGGTTGGCACGGTATCCGACCCAGTCTGGGCAAGATGATCTTCAAAGTATAAGGTAGGATTCCTGGTCTTTAACCCCAGATCTTGCTTCTCAAACGACCGCAATCCTTCCAACGAGGCTTTCGTTTTTGGCGATGTCTGACAACAACGGATATACATGGCGCGACCACTCGCGCTTGTTCCTTGCATGCGGCGTTGTTATCTTGAGTCCGTTTCAGTATGGCTTTGATTTTGGTATGATTGGAGGGCTGCAGGCTATGGTGGGGTTTTTGAAGGTACGACACTACGGCATCGCTCTTTCCCCTTCGAAATTGAAGGCGAACTGACTGTACACGTTAGATCTTTGGCTATCAAACCGACAAGTCACCCTTAGGATGGAATCTCACCACAGAACGGCAACAGCTCATTTCGTCGCTCATGACGCTGGGCGCTTTCATCAGCTCAGCAACTGCTGGCGTACCATCCACCCGGTTCGGGCGACGCATGTGTCTGGTTGCGGCATGTGTGACATGCTTCGTGGCTAACATCATGATGATGGCGACGGAGAACATCGGAGCGCTCTACGCCGGCCGTCTGATTATCGGTTTTGCGAACGGCTACTTCATGACTTTCTCGCAGCTCTACCTGCAGGAGAGTAGTACGGCAGAGCTTCGTGGTATCTTCCTCACAGGCTTCAACTTTTTCGTTTCCTTCGGAACTTTGATTGGCACGATTGTCGACTGGGCCACTGCGAAACGACCAGACAAATCTGCCTACCTCATCCCACTAGGACTCATCTACGTGTTTCCACTTATCATCATCTGCACGATATGGTTCATACCCGAAAGCCCCCGATGGCTCATCCTCCAGGGACACTTCGAAGAAGGCGTAAAAGCACTAGAATGGCTTCGTCCCGCCCGCCACGACTCCCGCGCCGAAGCCACCGCCATCCTCGCCGCAATTGAGAAAGAGAAAGAGTCCAGCTCCGGTATAGGTTGGCTTGACATGTTCAGCAACCCCGTCGACCGACGTCGTACTTTCCTCGCCGTCTTCGCAGTCTTACTCCAAGCAGCATCAGGCTCCATGTTCATCATCGGTAAGACCACCATCAAACCCAACCCCAAAAAGTCCGCACTAACACACCCCAAGCATACAAAGCCTACTTCCTCTCCATGGCCAAAGTAACCGACCCCTTCGCCATGTCCAACGTCCTCTCCTCCATCAGCATAATCGCCTTCATCGCAAACTCCTTCATAGTAGTCCGCTACGGCAACCGCCGCGTCCTCCTCATGACCGGCCTCCTCGTCTGCGGCATCCTCCAACTCATCATCGCCACCGTATACCACCAAGCCCCCAACGCAAAGTCCACCGGAAAAGTCACCGTCGGCCTCACCGCCATTTACATGTTCTCTTACAACGGCATGATATCCACCTACGCCTGGCTGTCCGGCGGCGAACTCCCCACGCAGAGACTACGTTCCCATACGTTTGGACTGGCGGCTAGTGCGGGGTTTGTAGGCGCGTGGCTGACGACGTTTACGGCGCCGTATTTTATTAATCCGCAGAGTATGAATTGGGGGCCTAGGTATGGGTTTATCTGGGCGCCGAGTTGTGCGGTGGCGGCGACGTGGGTTTTCTTCTTTTTGCCAGAGGTTAAGAATAGGACGTTGGAGGAGATTGATGAGATGTTTGAGGCGGGATTGTCGGCGAGGCAGTTTGGGAGTTACAAGTGTTTGGGGGCGGCGAGGGGGGATGATGAGAGGAAGGTGGGGAGGAGTAGTGTGGAGAAGGAGAAGGAGGTTACGGTGCTGGCGAGTGAGAAGGTGGCGGCTGAGACGAGTGTGTCGAGAGATTAGCGGGATGGGTGGATTGGGTGATCACTGCAACCGGAAGTATACTGGAAACGTAACTGAGAAGTGGGTCGTGGGGTATCTCATAATATATTGCTATGTTCCCTCGCTGTTCGCTCCACAGGCATAAGCATCTTATTTGCTAAACATGTATGCAACGCCTCAAGCGGTTCTCAACCAAGTATTCGCTCGATAACATGTCTTCCACCTGGCTCTTTCCTCTGGACCACTTTTCTAACACCAAGGCCCCAACCTTGGCTACCCTTCTCACCCATGAGACTCATCTCAACCTCACACTCTCGTTTGTCCTTGCTCAGGTCTACGATCTTGCCCTTGGGCTTGCTCGCTTGTAGTAACGGTGTATTGAGCGCAATGTTGATAATCTGCGGCCTCGTAACGGGTGTGAGAGGATGCATACGCGTCTTCGGCGTCCGGCTGCCAGTGATTGTAGATGATGCGGCCCGCTGTAGATGCGAGTAGATGATATAGCCTGGCATCTTTGCTGGCGGTGTGCGTGCGAGTATAGAAGAAGGGTGTAGGAAGACGTATTTCGAGTGTGGGTCGTCCGAACGCTCTGATTGTGACGAGAACAGAGTAACGTATGGCACATCGATCGCGGTCTTGGGTTTCCTTGGGAGCTCAGGAGGCACAGGAGCAAGATCGGCGCGCATAGCAATCTGATCGATGAAGCCTGCCGCGCATATCTGGGTGAGCAGATTGATGTTTCGCTCCGAAGGTGCTGGAAGCTTTGCATTGTATGCTCCGATAGCGGTGGGTCGATGTGCCCGGACAATGTTGGTGAGCTGGTGGCGGAGCTGACTGGCCTCGTTCATGGACTTTGGATTGAGGAACATGTCTTCGCAAAACCGGTGCGAGTCAGGCTCGTACGCGTAGGCACAGATGGCGTTGCTGAGCTTGATGCAATCACTCTGCTTCGCGTTGATGCTCATCTTGGCCTGTGCGGTATTGTAGGCTTTGCGCAACCGGGAGCGCTCTTCGGCTTCGATGTTGTCCTGCTCGGTGCGGATGGCGTCGGAATCTTTGACGGGCTCACGTAGCCCAAGATTGTTCTCTGGGACGATGAGTTCTGGTACAGATAGGGCAGCCACCAATGCGATGGTTTCAGCTGCGAGATTCTGTGCGACACCCATTGCAACCATACGTGCGAATCGCGGATTGAGAGGATATAGCGAGAGCTCGTGGCCAAGCTTTGTTACTTTGCCATCCAGAGACAATGCTCCAAGGTATGAGAGCAGATTCTCAGCCTTCTGCAGACTTTCCCTGTCCGGTGATGTGGGGAAAGGGAAGTTGACGACTGGGGCGCCCATACTCTTCAACTGCAGCACTACGCCTTCCAACGGTGTCCGTGAGATCTCCGGAGCAGCATACTCTTCAAAATCTCGCTCAAACACGGCCGATGAGTACAGGCGATAACAGTGACCAGGTCCAGTACGACCCGCACGACCGGATCGCTGGTTGGCGCTAGCCTTGCTGATCCAGCTGACTTCGAAACTCTGGACTCCAGTAATGAGATCGTATTTCTTCTCCTTGGCTCTTCCGCAGTCGAAAACGTAGCGGATACCGGGTATTGTCAAACTGGTTTCTGCGACGTTCGTCGCAAGGACAATAAGACGAGAGCCATCAGGAGGTGGGTCAAACACCCGCAGCTGCTGATTTGTGGGCAGTTGTGAGTAGAGAGGCAGAACATGTACGTTCATAACAGTGTCCTCTGCCTTTTCGTCTTCGATCTCGAACTCTTTGTCGTCTTCATCATCCAGTCCCATTATCACGGAGCCTTCCGAATCCGAACCATCGTCGTCTAGGTAGTTCTGATCTTCAGCCTCTCCGCCCAACTCAATGTCCTCGGCCTCTAGTGGCGTCTCCGCTGGAGAAACCACAACTTTGCCATGCTTCACTTCCCGCCCCTGCGTAGAGGGGAAGGCTTCTTTCAACCGTTTTGCAAGCTGCGAGATCTCGCTTTGTCCAGTAAGGAAGACAAGCATACCACCCTTGGGCAGCTTTCGATGTCCTCTGCAGACCTTACGATACATCTCCTCAACGTAGTCTCGCTGGGTGCGACGCGCGAAGTGGTTTACAACGGTGTATTGTCGACCCTCTGCCTTGATCAGTGGCGGAGGCTCACTCCTGAACAGGCGTTTGTTCTCGGTAAAGTCTGATATCCGCAAAGTAGCGGACATGATGATCAGTTTGAGAGGCTTGTTCTTTGGGTCTTCTTTGACCATCTGAGCGCGAAGATCCACTATCCTGCTAAGCATGCCAATAAGAATGTCGGTGTTCACACTACGTTCGTGAGCCTCATCGATGACAATCGCCGAGTATTTTGTCAACACGAAGTCTTGGGTAATCTCCCGTAGCAACACACCGTCGGTCATGAATTTAATGGCGGTTTTAGGACTCGTCGTCGTGTCGAATCGGATCTGGTATGCCACTTTCGTACTTTGGTCGCCGAGTTCGTCGCCGACACGTTTCGCCATACTGACAGCGGCTACACGGCGCGGTTGTGTAACACCAATCATGCCAGGCGTAGGCCCGTCTGGCGCTCCGTATCCAGATTCTAGGAGAAACTGAGGCACCTGCGTGGTCTTACCACTACCCGTGGCACCCCAAACTACTACCACGTCGTTGTTGTGTATGGCCTCCATGATCTTCTGCTCTTCCGCTACGATAGGAAGCTGCAGTCTTGACTCTTGTATCTCTGGTGACCGTTCGACGTTCACGCTGAAGGCTTTCCGTGTCGCATCCGTCGCCGTTTTCGTCTCAAGTTCTGGGGGCAGAGGATCTTGCTCGGGAGCTCGAGGTTTGAAGTTCGCCGGAATCGGTGCGTAGGAGAGTTGGTTTGTCGGGGTGAAACCCACTTGCTCATTTCTCTGCTGCGTTGCCCAAGCCTTGAAAGCCGACGTTCTTTCCTTCTTCGCGATCTTGTTCTCTTCGTCGGGACTGGTATCGCTTTCCTCGTCGCTGTCGTCCTCAGAGTCTCCGGACTCTCCAGATTCGTCAGAAGCTTCGGATCCGGAAGTTGATGCCTCCTCTTCCGAGTTCAAACCAGCGTCGTCGGACTCAGCAACAGATGCTTCAGATTCATCCCCACTGTCCTCATCGTTGTTCTCGCTGCCCGAGCTGAAGCCCTCCCATGCCACCTCTTCTTCGACCACGACGGGCTTGTTGGTCTGGCCTTTCCGGCGCTTTCGCACTTGTATAACGGGTTTGCCCGACTCGTCAACCTCCAGAGGCCTCTTCAATCCGCTTCCAAAGAGTCCACCAGTTTGCCGTGGCGCTGCGGGGGGCTGTGAGGTTGGCTCCGAGGCTTCAATTTCGGGCTCGGAGGGTGATGGGGATGGCGCTCGTTCTCGTGAAGAGCCGTTGGTTTGCGCTGCTTGCGAGGGGATCTGTCGTGCGTTTGGTTTCGAAGTGGGTATCGGCGCTTCTTCTTCGTCTGAACTTTCGTCTCCGACCTCCCTGACCTCGCGCTTCTCCAGTATCAGGCCTTCGTTCTTTTCCACATCTATGCCGGCTCTGCTCTCAGCCAGTGCGCGCCTCATTGCCTCCCTCTTGGTGTCCGCTCCTCGACCGAGCTTCTTCGAGCTTTGGAACAAACTGGTGTCGACTTTCTGGGTCGCGAGCTTCTTGAGCAGTTCGAGATTCTCTTCTTTCTTGAGTTTCGTATCCTGCAAAAGTTAGACTTGAAGTTCTTCTTGGTACAGTCGTAGCGCAAATTGACAACGAAAAGTGCTGGGAGTCTTGTGTGCTGTATCTCCACGTACAATGTATTTGTCGAGGCGCTTCTTCTTCTTGCCGCTCATCTTGCCCTGCGACTCTCGGGTGAGCTCATCCTTGAGCGCAGCCTTCTTCTGGGCGCGCTCCTGCTCATCCTGGGGCAAGATCTCGGTCGCATTGGTGTCGACGGTGGCCTCATACGCCGGCGTCTTCTGGCGAGCCAGAACCTTGTGTTTTCGCTGTCGCGGCACGAACTTGGGCATTTTGGTGGTTGCGGCGTCGAGGACTGCTCGCAGCGCCCGAAAGTTTTTGGTGGGGATCTGACGCTAGTGGGAACTCCGCAGCACTTCCGCCGGGTGCGAGTCGAGTGGGCTGTTGATCTGGATTCAACACCACGCACCGCCAGACACGAACGCGAAAGTCGCATCAGTACTCTACTGTGCGCCTAACTACTTTCACTATACCAAGAGCCTGAATCAACTCGCTCGCCTTTCATCGCATTACTCGTCGCATATCAGCTACCCCTCAGCAATAGCGATCGCATCGCACGGACAACACCATGGCAGCACCCACAACTTCAGACGACTACGTCGTGACGCCCGCCCCATACCCAGCGCGTACCAGTACGGCAACTTCGGCGATCAAGAGTATAGAAACTACAGCAACGGCGGTCAACTTTGCGGACAAGATTTTGATCACAGTGACACAGAATGGACGGTTAGCGCACTGGGTGTGTGAATATATTTGTTTGTCTGTAGTATCTTCTGCTAACACCATTAGGTACATGTACCCCTTGACATTTCCGCGACCGATGCCTCCATGACCTCGAATGCCTACCTCGAACGCGACGAAGAAGACCCTAACTCAGACCTCCTTCCTATGCACCATCTCACGGCTACAACTATACTTGGCGGTACCATGGCAGAGCTCGACACTCTAGGCTCAACACTCGCGACACAGATTGCCAGTGCCATCAAGCAACGCGACGACAGGGAAACCAGGATGGTCGTACTGGGTATGGGACTGGACAAAAGCATGATTGGAAGAGAAGCATTCAGCGAGCTGGTTGGACTTGTGCTGGGAGTCATATGAGATCGAATTCGTATTGCTTTAATCTATGCAATGCTCGACGTGATAACCGTTCGGATCTGTGCCCAAACGCCACTTCATCGAATCTTGGGTATGTCATCCATCCGTCCTCCTAAGGTCAACTTTTGCCCCTCTATGCGCCGTCCCATGCTGACCAGTCAAGTACCGTAACGCCGACCCAATGCAATCCAGAACCGATTCCTTTATACGCTCTCACGGAGCTTGTTGATCAGAACATCGACCGACTCCATGTCGTTGGCGTCCAGCTTTTGTTGCGGCTTGAACTCGGCGGGCACGTGCTCTACGGCGGCATCGAGCGCAGCCTGGAAGTTGCGGACGGAGGACGACAGGGCGAAGACTGCCTTCTTGCGGACCTTCTTCTCGGTGTCCGAGGTGGCCATGCGGACGAGGGTGGGAATAGCGCCGACTACGAGGAGCTGGGGATCGTTAGTATGTTTTGTGAGTGTGCGCGAGATCTGTGATTGCTTACCCGTTCCTGTGTCCGGATGTTGTTCTGGACAGCAGTGCCGCAGCACCATGCAGCGTAATATCGGAGTTCAGACTCCTTGTTCTCCAACTGTTCGACAAGAGGCACCCATAGTCCCAGACTCTCGATGTTGTTTGCGTTGTCGAGGTTCTCGATGAGTTGTTCAAAGTTGTCGAAGGCGGTCGTCCGGTGCTCCAGCTCGGCCTCTTCGTTTTGAATGACCTGCATGCTCTCCTGCATCAGTTGCGCATCCGAGGGCCCCGACATTCCCGTCATGAGTTGTTGTAGCGCCGTCGCGTCGATTTGAGGCGGCGGTTGGTTGGCGGCAGCGGCATCATTGCGCGAGGCCTCGGAGTTCTGGATGCCCCATTTGAGGAGGTTGTTTAGTCCTGGGTCGTTCATGGTGTTGGATAGGCGTTTGATGTGTGGTGTGTTGTGTGGAGGTTGTATGTAATCGCGGGGTGCGTAGCCATTGAATAATTTTGGCGGGCCTTATGACGCCGACGCTCGCGAGGGGACCAGCAGCTTCGCGGACCTTCCATGGGAGATCGTGCCCAACCTTGGAACACAGCTGTCAACACCATCAACCACATGGCGGGAAACGAACAAACACGACAAACATGGCGCGGTGCAAAAGCTGGTCGATGTCGGCTCTCAATGACATAATCACGACATGTTGGCATCGAGCATGGCATTGTTGCTGCGAATGCTCGTCTGGCTAGGTGCACTGCTGCTGCCCCTCCGCACACGTGACCATCGTATTCGGAATGGGCGGGGATGGCGAGTTGGCGGTGAGCGAAGCCGCGGATGGCTGGGGGACTGACTTGTGCTCGACGCTGACTTGTGCATTCACAGCGCACCGGCGAGAACACGTAGGTGCTAGTGGAGTGTCGATGATTGCTATACGCCAAGGATCGAACACCGCTGCCTGGCGGTCTGGTAGAGTTGACGTGCGCCGACAGCAGCTTCCTCGATGCTGTGGCGGGGAGCTTGCGTACTCTCCCAGTACGTACCACCGGGATAGATAGAGTCCATTCTAGGCTGCACACTTTGGGCCGCACGTATAAGATGCCCAATGCTGTTATCGTCGTGAAGCCAGATCGCCAACGCTGAAATTATACACAATCCCCTTTAGGAGCCGCCCGTTCGTGCAAAGCCTCCTTCGCGCCTGCGCTCCTGCCACCCCGCTAAATCTGGGCAAGGCCGACCCGCTTATTTAGCACACCCAGTTCTTGCCTCTGCGCACAAGAACCTCAACCTCAACACCGCCGCCGAACTTGTAAGCTCCCCGAACACCTCCGTACCCTTTTTACTTTTTCACCGCTAGCTGCATCTCTGAGCCTTCCCACTGACGCTCAATTGCTCCAGCGCTCTTACATCGACACCCATCTACAACTCCACGTCTACTCTAATCTCACCCTAATCAATCAACATGGAGGGTAAGCAGCTCCACCCCGACCGCCCCGTGTCCTGACCATCGCCGTCCACCATGCCCTCTATCTCAATGAGCTCTGCTAACCTCGATTGCCCACTACAGAGGAAGTCGCAGCCCTCGTCATCGACAATGGGTGAGTTGGCACCCCCCGAAGCCCAACACCGCCATCCCTGCCGTGGAGGGGCTGTCCGCGCCTGAGCCTTATCTGAGCCGCGACGACATCCTCCACGACAGCGCGCCATGTTCGGAGATGAAATGAGCTTGAGCTGACAATCTCCAGTTCGGGTATGTGCAAGGCCGGTTTCGCCGGTGACGATGCGCCCCGAGCAGTCTTCCGTAAGTACCTCCATTTCCGCCTCCCAGCTGCGGCGGGATCAAACGCCATCTCGAGAGCACTTCTGACAGCTTTGCAGCTTCCATCGTTGGCCGACCGCGTCACCATGGGTACGATGAACCCCCCGTAGCCCCTACGCACTCCGCCGTCTAACAACAAACAGTATCATGATTGGTATGGGCCAGAAGGACTCCTACGTCGGTGATGAGGCACAGTCGAAGCGTGGTATCCTGACCCTGCGATACCCCATTGAGCACGGTGTCGTTACCAACTGGGACGACATGGAGAAGATCTGGCATCACACTTTCTACAACGAGCTGCGTGTTGCCCCCGAGGAGCACCCCGTTCTGCTCACCGAGGCTCCCATCAACCCCAAGTCCAACCGTGAGAAGATGACACAGATCGTCTTCGAGACCTTCAACGCTCCCGCCTTCTACGTCTCCATCCAGGCCGTCCTGTCCCTGTACGCCTCCGGACGTACCACCGGTATCGTGCTCGACTCCGGTGACGGTGTCACTCACGTTGTCCCCATCTACGAGGGTTTCGCTCTTCCCCACGCCATCTCCCGTGTCGACATGGCTGGTCGTGATCTGACTGACTACCTCATGAAGATCTTGGCTGAGCGCGGTTACACCTTCTCCACCACTGCCGAGCGAGAAATCGTCCGTGACATCAAGGAGAAGCTCTGCTACGTCGCTCTCGACTTCGAGCAGGAGATCCAGACTGCCAGCCAGTCCTCCAGCTTGGAGAAGTCCTACGAGCTTCCCGACGGTCAAGTCATCACCATCGGCAACGAGCGTTTCCGTGCTCCTGAGGCTCTCTTCCAGCCTTCCGTCTTGGGTCTTGAGAGCGGTGGTATCCACGTCACCACTTTCAACTCCATCATGAAGTGCGATGTCGACGTCAGGAAAGACCTGTACGGCAACATTGTCATGGTACGTTGAACGCTATAATCTCGCAAAACACAGCTAATAGCAGCCAGTCTGGTGGAACCACCATGTACCCCGGTATCTCCGACCGTATGCAGAAGGAAATCACCGCCCTCGCCCCATCCTCGATGAAGGTCAAGATCATCGCTCCCCCGGAGCGCAAGTACTCCGTCTGGATCGGTGGTTCCATTCTCGCCTCGCTCTCCACCTTCCAGCAGATGTGGATCTCAAAGCAGGAGTACGACGAGAGCGGTCCCTCCATCGTCCACCGCAAGTGCTTCTAAGGTACTGGAGGTCATGCGTCTACGCGATTCATCGACTGACGGTTTTCTTCCAAGCGTGTTCTTGCGTACGGTTCTCGAGATCATGACAAGCCTAGTAGCGGGGGCATCCTTGTATTGGTGCCTTGTTATCCCGGGGTTTTACACATGTCGATTGTCCACAAAATAGCACAGCGGGCCAATGGTTGGGTGTTTGAGTTATGGAGGAGCTTGAGCTCACATGGGGGTGTAGGATCTTAAGATTGTAGCTTAGAGCCTATGGACACTTTCATATCCCTTACGATCTTTGGCTGTCTCTGCGTGATGAGTGATGATGTGACAACGCAATCTGCAGCTGCAAGCTCATGTGTATCTCAAAACCTCGACCTGGCACGTATTTACGTGAACGTACGACAGTCAAACACGCGCGACGCGTCGCAAACGTGCCTGGCCTTTCGATCAAAGTAACGACGTGTGGAATTGGGACGAGTGGTTGGACATCCCTGCTAGCGCGGAAGTGTTGTCCTCCGCGGGAAGGCACGAAGCGACGCGTTCCTCTGCAAAATGCTTACATGCTACCTTCCATCTCACGCATGAATCAGCATGATATGACTCAAATCCTTATCTAGGTCCTCCTCATCTTACCCAGCTGTTGTGTTGTTCATTTTACTATTTGTCGTTCTTACCGCGACGTTGGTCATACTGGGGCGATTGCCTCCGAACTCCCACCGGTCACGCGACTTCCGCATCTAAAGTCGCCCGAGCGGCCTCTATCTAGTCAGGATGTCTTCATCGTCTAGCAAACCCGCTGATGAGAACACACCTCTCCTAACCCAAGTAGACCCAACACCGATAACAGAGGATCAATCGATCGACCCTTCATCTCAGCAAGATGACATCGAAGAAGAAGACCAGGATAAGCCACTGCCCAAAGCTCAGATCTTTCTCCTGTGCTTTACGGTATGCGTAGCGCCGATTTCCTTTTTCTCCATCTTCCCTTATATCAATTTTATGATTGAGAGGGTGGGGAATGTGGATAAGGAGGATGTTGGGTTTTACTCGGGCTTGATCGAGAGTCTGTTTAGTGCGACGCAGATGTGTGTGATGATCTTTTGGGGGAGGGTAAGTATCACTGGTTTCGCTGTAAAGGAGGAAAGACACTTGCTGACATAGCATCCAGGCTTCTGATCGATATGGGAGGAAGCCTACTCTCATCATATCTTTGTTGGGCTTGACTGTCGCCACGACTCTCTTTGGAATGAGCCAGACCCTCTGGCAAATGGCATTGTTCAGATGCCTGGGTGGTGCCTTTGCTGGAACGGTCCTCACTGTCCGGGCAATGATTTCTGAGAACAGTACTAAACATACTCAAGCGCGAGCTTTCAGCTTCTTTGCTTTCGCTAGCAACATGGGTATCTTCATCGGTCCGCTGATAGGTATGTGTCCCGCAACGCCATGAGCCAACAATGAGCTAAGTACAGATCTATAGGTGGTGCACTCGAACGCCCTGCGGATAAGTTCACATCAACCTTTAGCAAACTGCAGTTCTGGCATGACTATCCCTACGCGCTTCCTAATTTTGTCGTATCGGCTCTCGCTATCTCTGCAGCAATCACAACGATGCTTTTCGTTAAAGAAACACTGCACATCCATGGCGACAAGAAGAAGGCTGCAAAATCCACCATGTCTACCTGGGAGCTGATCAACCGGCCCGGCGTCATGCGAGTACTCGTCGTATACAACTACGTGATGCTGATGGCATTCACATTCACAGCCGTCTTTCCAGTCGCACAGTATACACCCGTCAAGTTGGGTGGCCTCGGCTTCACCGCAGAACTTATCGCTGCTTGCACAGCGTTGAACGGAGTATCTCAAGCAGCCTGGCTACTCATTGTATTCCCTGCGCTACACAAACGCGTAGGTACTGGCTATGTGCTCTATCTATGTGCATCAGTCTGGCCACTTCTATTCATCGTCGGTCCGGTATACAATTTTCTACTCCGGCATGGGCATACTACCATCTTCTGGGCTACTGGGCCACCTCTTCTAGTCCTTGCAAGCGGAGTGTCGATGGCCTTTAGTAAGTCTCCATAGACACCTGTATCTTGCTTCGCTAACGTATACAACAGCCAGCGTCCAGCTCGCGCTCAACGATACATCGCCCTCACACGAAACACTCGGTACGCTCAACGCCGTCGCACTTGCGGCGCAGAGTGGCATTCGATCCGTAGCACCGGCTCTTGCGACTAGTATATATGCTATTGGCGTCAAGTACCATATTCTGGGTGGTCAACTTTTCTGGCTTTGTCAGCTCGTTCTGTCCTTCGGCTTGTTTGGGCTGTTGAAGCTGCTTCCTGCAAAGGCTAGGGGGGACGTGAAACCGAAGCTGTTCAACGGCAGTGCTTGATGCATGGTTCTGTATAAATGGAAACACTACTCCTGCGCATGTCGTTTTGCCGACTGATATCGGAATAAAATAGGAGGCTCTTATATGCATGGATCTACTGTAAACTGAGGGGATGCTGTGGTAGTGTCGCTTGCGTGTATGGAAGCACATTGCCCACAATGAAGCATCGCAGAAAGACTTGAGGAACGAATATCATCGAAGGCTTACGAAAAGGCAGTTGCAAAGCTTACTCCAGACAATAGACACAAGATTTTCGCAAGCGCCGTAAGAATCGCATATTCAGCTCAAGTCAACATCTTACTCTGAGCTAACTACACTAAGACTTGCGCCTGCCTTATCTGGAGCCTGCGAAGGCCTTCAACCTCCAATAGGCAAAGATAGTCGACTGGAGATCTTCACGGAGACAGCGATCGACTTCATAGGGTATAAATTTGCGCATATACTCTGACTGTGTAATCTAGATCACAGCCGATGGTTTGGGGGCTCAATTTAGCTTACGGGGGCGCAGCTGCCAAGCCTGCGTAGGCTGACATTACCTATGTGTGGCTTATTCCCAACCTCAGCACTTTGCTTCCTGCTCTACACATCCTCAATCAAATTTTGTCTCGAAGATGAGACTCATCAACGTAAAAAACAAGAACCTGGAGGACTTTACAGGTCGTTCACCCCCAGAATACGCTATCCTGTCTCACACATGGTCAACCCCGAAATACGATATCCTGTCTCACACATGGGGTACCGAGGAGATCACCTTCAGTGAGATGCAATCTCAGCAGCCTGATAAGGACAAGGCTGGTTGGAAAAAGATTGAACTATCATGCAAACAAGCCGAGGATGATGGACATGGCTATGTTTGGTGCGATACTTGCTGCATCGACAAAAGCAGTAGCGCTGAGTTGTCGGAGTCCATTAACTCCATGTTTCGCTGGTACCAGGAAGCCGAAGTATGTTACGCTTTTCTCGAGGACATCTCGGACGTCAAAGATTTGGGAAAAGCCAAGTGGTTTACGCGAGGTTGGACTCTTCAAGAACTCATCGCGCCGAAGAGCCTTGTGTTCTACGTAGAAGACGACAACGCCGCATGGCGAAAGATTGGTATCCGAGAGGAGGTGGCAACGGCAAATCAAATTGCAGGAATAACTGGGATTGACGAGTATTTTCTACGTGGTGTAGATTCTACGAGCCGTGTTCATGGAGCGAGCTTTGCCAAAAGAGTTGCTTGGGCATCGAATCGAACTACGACAAGACATGAAGATATCGCCTACTGCCTCATGGGTCTCCTCGATGTCAACATGCCGCTGCTTTACGGAGAAGGGGGTGTCAAAGCGTTCCGAAGATTACAAGAAGAGTACCTCAAAGTCAATCCCGACCAATCGTTTCTTGCGTGGCTTCGTCCCGAGGACGGGGAGCCAAATACATCAGATGGTAACCTCTTCGCCGCTCATCCTAAGTACTTCCAAAAGTGCAATAAAATATCACTGGCTAGTGATGACGCTGCTGCCTTCACTTTGAACAACAAAGGGCTCCAAATTCGCCTACCACTATTCCAGAACAGGAGTGACAATGCCATACGAAGTCCCGAGTATTTTGCCATTCTCGCCTGTTATTCAGACGCGCAACCTGGGTATCGTATTCGCATACCTCTACGTGCCGTGGAGAGGTCTGCCGAATCATTCACTCTCTTTCCGGGCCGTGAGCACGTTCCTGACTTGCCTGACGAGTTTGACGATGCACATATGACGAACTGCGTTGTACTCAGAACACTACCGCCTTTGACCCCACGATTACTATCAGTCAACAGCTTACCCGAATTGATCTCGTGGAAGCCAAAGATCATCTATCTCAATCCATCGACTGGGACTTGGGATTGTCTGAGCGAGCCTGCAGATCTGGATCCGAACATCCTGCGCCCCGAACTAAACTCACAATATCCGTCGATCCGAATGCCCGACCAACGAGAGTGGGCCAGCTATGGGGTCCTTCTTCATCCTCCGTCCCCATACTCGGACAATACGAGCAGTGACTGTGAGAATATATCGTGTTTGAAGGTTCTGATAAGAGTGGACGTCAGATTCGAGAGGCGATATGAAGTCAACGTACGCATCCAACTATTCCACATCGCTGGGAATGAAATCTTGACAGATTCGGAGGATCTCCTCAGCGTATCGTCCACAGAGCCACCGTCAAATTCGCGCTCTCGAATCATTTACATACCCACTCAACCATCAGAAACAATCCATGCATCGGCCTCGTGGAAGCGTATTTCGAGCCAAGACGTCCTGTCTGTGAAGATCGATCTGGCATCAGTCGATAGGCATCGTGCACATCAACTGTATGCACTTTCGATCAGTGCATTCAACTTAATTATCACTAAAGATCCGCGGGTGCACGCCCTCTATGGAACCATAGCTATGCTGGTCTTAATTACATTCGGGCAGCCTAATGCATTTTCATTCGAGGCGCTCGGTCTTGGTCTTGCCGTCACGTCAGTCTACTTTATCACACTTCCGGCAGTACGGTTTATGGTTTACATACGACCAGAATACAGGGTGGTATATTTCCGCCTACCGTTTGCCATGGCATTCTTACTACTCAGTAAACAAAACTTCGTCGATTA